CTGATGTGTTAGGTCAGTTCATGCCCTTCATTGGAAAGGACTGGACACAATCCGGTGTAGCTAAGCTTTTTTCTGCCATAAAGGTAAATGTTCAAGGTTTAACTGAATTTCGCTTCTATAATATACTGTGCACTTGATGTTGGAAAAACATGAGATCCACTGTTGCCTATATAATATACAATTTATTTAAGTGGTTGTTTCTTCAATTGATAAACAGTTTGTATATCTTAAATTTGTACCTTGTAAGTATGGATCTCACTTTATGATTTACATTGCTTTGGATTTTTCAGGAGAATGGATATCAGTTGCTGTTTTTGAGCGCTCGTGCCATCGTTCAGGCATATCTAACGAGAAGTTTCTTAAATAATCTGAAGCAAGTAAGAGTGATATCTTTTTACCTGTGAATTGGCACCTAATCCATATATAATCTTAATTAATAACAGAAGCTTATGGAGCTGAAATGATGATGTGTGAGGCTATCTATATAGAGCCTGTTGTTATGATATCTCTCTGCTACTTATGGAATCCTGTTTTCTTACTGGCTTGCAGGACGGAAAAGCTCTGCCAAATGGCCCTGTGGTCATTTCTCCAGATGGCCTATTTCCAGCATTGTACCGTGAAGGTTAATCTTTATACCCTTCGAGATTCATTTGCATTACGCCTTTTTCATTCAATAGTATATATCTCTTATTTTTTTCTTATAAATTTAATAACTGCTTTGCAGTGATAAGAAGAGCACCTCATGAATTCAAGATCGCATGTTTGGAGGTAAAGTTTTTCTCTTTTTTTTTTTTTTTCCTGGAAACTAATAGAGAACACTTAAAACCAGCGGCTTAGATATGAACAACTTTTACAATTGTAATGTGCAGGATATCAGGAAACTTTTCCCAACAGATTACAACCCGTTCTACGCTGGATTTGGAAACAGAGACACAGATGAGCTGAGTTACAGAAAACTCGGAATCCCAAAGGGAAAGATATTCATAATCAACCCAAAGGTACTCACAATCTCCTAGAATCTGACATGCATGGTTGTTTCTTCACGTGTATTGAGTGAGAGACTCTCTTTAAAATGGTAGGGAGAAGTGGCAACAGGACATCGCATAGATGTCAAGAAGTCTTACACTTCACTTCATACTCTTGTCAACGACATGTTTCCTCCAACTTCACTTGTTGAGCAGGTATATAGAGTTATAATCTTTTAGCAAACATAATGTAAAGTGGATTCGTCTATGGTTTCAAATGTTTGCGTACACATTCACAGGAAGATTATAACCCATGGAACTTCTGGAAACTACCGATAGAAGAGGTTGATTGAAGAAATCATGTTACGATACGAGAAACTAAAACGAGGTGCCGATGTGTCGGGCCATGGCTGCGGAATCTCCATTATTGGACTTTGTAAGCTTATTCTATGACTTTGTAGACAGGAAAGAGCTGGAACATGTAAACAAGAAAGAGCTGGAGCTTGTCTCTACTGCGTAATGTCTCATGTAGGAGTTAACACAATAGGGAAAGAATGCTATATAAGCTGTGACAATGTTCTCTGTACGAGACCTTATTTTCTTTATATTTTCCTCTTTTGCATACACAGAAAATAAAAGCTAAAAATAATCTTTATATTTGGATATAAATAATCAGGTAGTATAATAAAGTGTTCTTGAATGGAAAAAAAATGCATCGAAAAAACTTAATATAGAAGTTTACAATATTAATATGACTCACGAATCACTTCCCAATTCTTCTTGGACTTGATCCTAGCTTCTCTTCACTTCTAGTATTGGTTTGACTAAAAGTTTACTTTTTATTCAATTTAATTGATTCAAATATGTAAACTGATGGATTTAGATTACAGATGCATGTCTGGAGTCTGGAATCGGAAAAGCAAGTAGTTAACTTCAAAGAGTTCATATACAATAAGCAGCTAACAAAAACTAGTTCGCTACTAGTACTATATCGCTATGTTATATTGTTAGGTCATTTATCAAGAAAAACTTGTTTTCAAATTTCCTTGTGTATAAAGTAAGACATAGTTCGACTTTTTTTCTTCGGCCAAAAAAATATATATAACACTATACTTACATAGATCAAGAAAAAAAAAAAAAAAAACAAATACGAATTTCCATGGATTATCATCATCATCGATCAGATTGCGTAAATTGGATTAACTTCCGATTCAGTCTCGGACGGATTCGTATGATGCCACGAACTCGTTCCATTTCTAGCAAATTTCTTCTTCTCCTTCTTCCTTACTTTCCTCGTCCTCTTCGATTTCACCACATAATATGTCATTATACTCAAAATTCCGGCCATCGTCACAGTTCCTATGACCGTTACCACAACGGCCGCGTATCTGTTTCTCCGACCAACCACAATGTACGATGAGGAAATGAATGCCACGGTGGTGCAAACAGAGGCGAGCCACATCAGCTTATTTATTACTTCCACCACACGTCTCTCCGTTTTAGTCTCTCCCCTTACAAGCGTGATTTGCACGACAACTACTGCTAATGAAGTGAATAGCGCGATCGCGTTGAATATAAAGAATATCTTGAAAGATGTTGCGTGGACCATCACGGCCACTCCGTGGTCGTCTTCACCTCCTGGAACCGTGAAAATGGCTGCAAATGCAACCGTGGCAAAGAGAACTGCCACTACGGTTACTGAGTTGGTCGCATTGTTGATTCCAGCTCTGTGGAGTTTCCTTAGCTCCTTGGCTATCCCGTCGACGTTTTTGTTGGTTTTTCGGGTTTGTTCCAGCTGAGTGTGGACGTCTTTCTTGATCTCGGTCACGGTTTTTCTCAGCTCGTCTCTTGGCTGGTTTAGTTCGTTGGCTTTGAGTGCTCCGCAACGCGATAATATCTCTTTGATCTCTGCGGTTTCCTCTGAATGAGTGAGTCCTTCAGCGATGTCGTATGCAGTTTTATGGTCTCTTGTTAGCGCATTCACGTTTGTATCTGGAAGTTGTAACAGCTCATTCACAATCTGTGAATCAAAACAAGAATTCAAGAATCAGGAATCAAGTTTCAACAATCAAGAATCAAACCGAAATTTCAATAAAGCGTGAATCAATCATTACCTCTGCTCTTTTCTTTCGTGTAGCAATATGCAACACGGTGTTACCGAATTTATCAGGAAGCATGACAATAGCCGGATCAGCTCGAAGGAGCAACCTTACGACTTGTGAGCTAACTCCTTTCACAGCCATATGCAAAGACGTTTGGCCTTTCTTGTCTGTTCGTCTTGCTAACTGCGGATCTTTATCGAGCAACGTTCTTACAATATCTACATGACCTTGACGCGCAGCAAGGTGAAGTGCGTTTTTTCCATTCGATCTTGAAATCTCAAGCAAGCTTGAGTCTTTGGCAAGCAATTCGTTAACTACTTCAGAATGCCCTCGTGTTGCAGCTGACACAAGTGGGGTTGCGTTTGATTGAGCTACTGTTTTACTCAGTTGAGGTTCATGCTCAAGCAATAACTGGACAATAGCTGCAATAAAAAGAAGCTCACATGCGGTTAGAAAGAAAGATATGCAAATCCTTTGCTTCAAAAAGGTTTTGATTTACATCGATCAAAACTTACATCGATGGCCTTGACTACAAGCAATGTGTAAAGCATCAAATCCAGAAAGATTCTTCTGCATAAGAGATTCTGTGGTCGTGTATCGCAACAATTCCTTGACAACATCTATGTTTCCTTTCTCTGCTGCTGTAAAAAGCGGTGTCTCCCCCAACTCATTCACCTCGTTTACCACCGATGTCATTATTTGAGCTACTTCCTCATCGAAATCAGCTCCGGTAATGGTACCCGTAATCTGAGAATCAATGTCACTAAGAATCTGCTTAACAGCAGCCAGGTCTCCTCTTTGAGCAGCTAGGTGAAGCTCGGTGTCGTTGTGGCGGCCGGTGACTTGTTTCACATACTTCTTCTTCCCCGTTGGATCAAACCTTTTCCCCGAATTCGAAAGTCCCAAGGACTTGCTCGAATTCGACACCATTAAAGCCTTGCCAGAATTGGACAGAACCAGAGTCTTCCTTGGGGTTGGAGTTGGCGACAGGTCCGCTACAGTACTCCCTGTAGGACTCGCTGGATCCGTCGCCAAACCCTTCTCCATATCTGGTTCCAGTTCCTTCTCTGAGAGAGTGAGATTGATTACACAATGTTTGTTTGTATATCACGTAAACAACAAACCCATTGAAGAAATACCAAAAAAAAACACCATAAGAGATATTTCAAGACTAACCCTAATATCACACGTTTTCTAATTCCGCAACGGATTTTCCTAACGATTCGAGTCAGAAATCTAAAACGAAGGAGTCATTGTACCTTCTTCGATTCTGGATCCCATTTTGAGAGATTAAAAAAACAGAGGAATTTCAAAGCGGGATCATGATATTGAAAGAACAGACGATTCTCCGATTGGAGAAAGATGAATAAGCCGTTAGAGCCGTCGACTTCGGCGGCCACCGGTACCTTCAGTGTCACGTCAAGGGTTTGCGATCTGATTATTGAAGGAGAAGCAGCTTAATTACCTTTTTTGGGGTGTAATTTGGGTTGTCTTTTCTTCTTCTTCATCTTCTTCAGTTAGGGATGTTTCACACGTCAGCATTTCATTCCGATTTAAATTCACAGAATATATGTAATGTTCAAAATACGGTTTAGGAAATACTGAAATTGGAAAGAAATTTGGTTAGTTAAACAAATGATGGGCTTCATTTTTGTGTTGGGCTTCATTGGAAAACTATTTGTAAATCGTTTTTAAGCGTTTAGCAACATTTCTTAAACTTTTATAATATTTTTGGAATTTTTTTTAAAATTCCTTTTAAAACTAAGCTAAATTTGGTTTTTTTTTTTAAATTCCTTTTAAAACTAAGCTAAATGGTGATATAAAAAGGTAAATTAAAATAAAATATCTACAAAAGGCAAAGAATCTTATCTATACAAATATCATGCGAAAATATCTCTAAATTTAAAGTTGTCTTAACAAAAATCCCCCCAGCATTTGATTTAAATAAATAAATAAAAATATAAATCTACTGTCGGCAGCAACACCAAAAGAAAAAAAAGAACAAAAAAGGATTATTATCGCACAGTTCCAACAAAAGCTATCATCAATGGTTCAGTTGAAACAAAGAGCAATTATATCCCAAAAATACAAAACTGAAACTGTCCGAAATTAAATTCAACATTTGTTATAAATTAGCTATGGGAAACTTACATGGCCTTCACAGATCCCATCACGGCGGTTCTAATTTTCCCGGTGAATCCCCCAATTCACCTTTCCCACCACCATATACATCAGCTCCGCCATTCGATCACCACATGACGGTGGGACCTTATTGCCACGTAGACTCCAGCCTCCGCTCTCTCGCTGGTAAGGCTGAGGGTTTCGGCCGCGCCGCCGTTGGTGGTCTAAATGGTCCGATTTGCCACGTCACTTCTTTAGCTGGTAAAATTCAAAAGTCCCCTCTTTTCCTTCATTTATTCCTCAAATTCTTGGATTAACATGATTTTTCTATTTAATTTAAAGTTCTCAATTTTGTTACTCCATATAGAAACAAAATTATGATCAAGTGATATTCTCAGCCAATTACCCCAAATAGGAACAAAACTTCAAAAGTAATTTAACAAAAAAAAATCTTAAAAAGTAAACGTAATTTATTTTTGTGGGGTAAAAGTAAGTTTATTAACCATTTGTTGATTGATTCTATGTTTGTATTGAACCATTTATCTGGATTCTGAATTTTGCTTCATATATCTTAAGAAAAAGTGGTGACTGATAGCCTAAACCATGTTCAAATTGTTAATGTAAGGTGAAATTATCATTAGATCTAATAAGCTGCTTCATTTTTTAAAGATTCTTGCTAATTTACGCCAAAGTAATTCCAATATCCACCATTTTGATGTCTAGACGTTGGGTCGGTTTAGCCAAATTTGGACATCTTTGGTTTAAAATTCATATTAAAATTGAGTGGCAGTACGATTTATGTGCAGACGAGGGTCCAGGATCGTTGCGAGAGGCTTGTAAGAGGCCAGAACCGTTATGGATTGTGTTCGATGTATCGGGAACGATCAATCTGTCTTCGTTTGTGAGTGTATCATCGCACACAACGGTGGACGGAAGAGGACAAAAGGTGAAGATAACGGGAAAAGGGTTAAGGCTAAAAGAGTGTGAAAACGTTATAATCTGCAATCTTGAATTTGAAGGCGGTGTGGGACCAGACGCAGACGCAATTCAGATCAAACCAAAATCACACAACATTTGGATTGATCGGTGTAGTCTCAAGAATTACTATGATGGTTTGATCGATATCACACGAGAAAGCACTGACATTACTGTCTCAAGGTTTGTCTCTTAAATCTTATATGGTACAAAGTAACTTAAGTAACCCATTTATTGTTTGATTCTATGTTGTAATGAAAAGATATTCTAAGAATAGTTTTAAAACATGAAATTATTTACAGATACATATTATATGACTATCTATTGTGTTGATTTTTTTTTATGTTTTTACATATATCAGATGCCATTTCATGAACCACAACAAGACGATGTTAATAGGAGCGGACACAAGTCACGTTACGGACCGATGCATAAGAGTTACGATACATCACTGTTTTTTCGACGGCACACGTCAGCGACACCCTCGCGTTCGCTTCGCAAAAGTCCATCTCTTCAATAACTACACTCGTCATTGGGCCATTTACGCTGTCGGTGCCGGTGTAGAATCTCAGGTCCGTAATCGGAAGATAACATATATGAACCTATATTTACGATTTTGCCATCATCTAAGTTCATATGATTCATACATTTTATGTTGTTTTGATAGATATATTCTCAGTGCAACATATATGAAGCTAGTGAAAAGAAAACTGTCTTTAAGTACATCACTGAGAAGGTAATCTCCTTTGTATATTCTTTAGGTTCTTAAATCATTTTCTTTATAATATTATAGTTAACGTAACGTTTTATTGGATTTGGTGATTAGGCGGCGGATAAAGAGAAACCCGGAGCTGGGTTCGTACGGTCAGAAGGGGATTTGTTGTTGAACGGAGCCAAGTCGTGTCTTAGCCAGGGCGGAGAGCGGTATGTGTTCTCTCCGACCCAACACTATTCCGAATGGACTGTCGAATCTCCAACCGAGATACTCAAGAACTATCTGAAACACTCGACCGGATGGCAGAACATTCCGCTCCCACTAGACCAACCTCCTACCACCGGTTAACTATTGTTAATGGAAGTGAATTAAATGGATCACTTTTGGCAGTACCAAAATTATATCCCAGTAGTTTCTCCCGCTTCCACTTAGACAAACAATGATATATCGAATTTGATAGGAATAGGATTGTCGAATTTTTCCAATTCAAAGTTGAGATTTTAGTTTCAACTAATAAAATAAGCCTATATAGAAAAAAAAAAAAAAAGTTAATGTATATTTTGAGCTTATGTGCGCATGTATGGATTATCTTTAATTAGATGAATAACAAGTCTGTGGTGGTTGGCTCGGTCCCTCTAAAAAGGTTGAAAATTGAATCCCTAGTTTGATTCTTGTGGGAAGGGATGATTTAGTCCCTCTTAAGGAGATCAAATATTATCAAAAGCATTTAGGACTCAAATCCGAAATTTTGTGAAAATGAATTAACATATAAACTAATATATGTAATTAACAAATGAAAAGTTCATTTTAAGCAATTTAAGTTTTTGAGTATCTATTCTTTGTCATGATTCTACAAAATGTGTGGCTCTTCGGCTCTGTCAATGTCACCTTCCGTTGAATATTAGTTCTACAAAAGTATGTGTGGTATTTAGGTCTCTACAAATCGTGTTATGTGACTCTTGACTTGGATTATTCGCTACCTAACGGTCCTCAGTCCTCACCCACCAAAAAAGACCAAAGATTCTACACACCTATCTGATGGTGATCGTCGTTATGATTAAATGTTAGTCCCAATACCTCATAAATACGCCATGTTACTTGTAAGTCGTAACTCGTTACACCTTTAATGACATCAATTAAGTTGTTACAAGAAAAAGAAAAGAAAAACATGTTTGGATACCTGCATATAACAATATTAGGGTGAAAAATGGCGGGGAAATAGAATGAAAACATAATATTTTTCCCCTTCAAAATCTTCTGCATGATAAAGATCGAGTCTTTCGTCCAGGAGTTGGAGTAGCTGTTGTAACAAGACAAAAATCTGGCGTACAAACATATTGATTCTCCAAAATACCCTTCCCGCTAAACAGCTCTGACAAGTGGTTTCCGATATCTTCAGGGGTATATCGGACATTCCACTCACCTTCCGTTCCCGCTAACATAACGGCATTTCTATGAGCGTTGTAAAAATCGCGGTAAACCGGCAACAGTTTTCTCCCTATCGAAATTCTCATCTCGTCCAATAGTTTCGGATCAAGTACAATGCACTCACTCTGTGCCTCGCACGTGTTCTCGAAAGTCTCGTTGAACTTTTTGAATTGCATCATCGCTTCTTCGGGCGACATCTCCACCGCCTCCGAAGTACTAATCGCCGGACACATCGACGCCAATGGACCCCATGCTAGCCTCTCATAGCTTCTTGCAAACTGCCTAACTTTCTCGGAATGCTTCGCGATCCAATCGTCGCCGAGAACATCCTTCACGTTCGTGGATCGAGCACGTGAGACAACATGTTGGAGATTGTTGGCTAAGAAGAGATACTGCATCGAGAAGTCCTTGTACATCTCAGCTTTGCCATCGATTTTACAGAGGAGGACGAGAATCATCCACGCGAATCGTACTTTTAGCTCTGAAGCCGGAGATTCTTCGGATTCTGAGACATTGAAGTAAGATTTAGGAAGCAATGATTTAGCCGAAGATGATGATGATGATCCCTTGAGGATATCCGTGAGAGCGGTACTGTATTCCGCGAGTCGGGAGATGTGATTCATGGCGGAGATAGTCATCGGATGAACTCCTCCACCACGAACCACTGTCTTGGACGAGTCTTTACGGATTTCAGATTCAAAATCCACCAAATGAGAAAGAATTGACTCACTTAGTCGGCTAAGTGAGCTGTGAGCTTGAGTTCGAACAATCGAAATTGATGGAAACGAGAAGATCGATTCAATCGCAAGCAAGTTCTCGGTGATCGTGCAATACATATCTAGCAACGGGAAAATCTTCTCCGGATTTGGATTTTTCTTGTCTCTTAAGGCGATGGTTTCCGGGAATCCAAACAGAAGAAGAGCTCCTTCCTTGGAGATGTCTCGGAAACAAGACTCCCTAAGAGAAACAGAGGATTCAAAGATATCATCGCATAGACTCTTTTCGCCATTGAAGAGAGTCTTCATCGAGACCTTAACCGCCTCAATCCACCTATTCATCTTCAACTCAACAACTTCACATGGCATCTTTTTCGCCTTGGAAGAACTGATTTTCTCTACTCCAAGACGATAAATGGATTCATCGACTATCGATTTTCGAATAGATTTATAAGTACTCGCACACTCTTTTGCATAACCTGCAGCGATCATGCAGTCTGCTATGGATTTCAGTTCTGTCCTAGAATTCTTTGACACCTCCTCGACTTCGATGATGGAATCACTAGCTGAACGAGACTCGTGCCAAATATCGTCATCGTTGGATACGACAGATGTAGGCGATCTAGAGGAGACGGATTCAGGATCCAAATGCGCACGGTTCATCGAAAGAATCTGGAGAAACTCTTTCTGAAGTCGTTTCATGGCGATCTGCATTAGATTCTGAGCTCTAAGGAGATTCTCCGAATTCGGATCTTCTCTAATCAACATATCCATAGCGTTCTGCAGTTCCTTCACGCGTTTAACAAACTTTTTCGCTTCTCGCTTGCTCTCGCAAAACAGAGAATAAAATTTATTTGAGGAAACATACTCGGTGTTCCATTTCTCGATAATCTCGGCTGCATTGTCGATGGTCTTGTTGATATCCGATGACTCGTAACTCTTGCTAGGTATTGAGAGAGAAGGCCTCTTCCTTGAAGAAGTCATCTTAGAGAAGAAACTAAAACCGCTCTTGCTCCTCATCTTTGATCTCTAGCCTCTCTTTTTTTCAAATGTCGTTGCAGGAATTTGGAAGGAGATAAAAAAAAAATGGTTTTAAGGGAAAATTTACATTTAATATTGAAACGCCTCACCTCCGATGTGGATTCAAGAACTAGTGGTGAAAGGGTTCCCTTTTAAAGAACCTACCACTTAATCCAAATGCAAGGAGGCGTTGACGTCCTGCGTTACGTTAGAACAGAAAATCTAGATATTTTTTTGATCTGTTACGCAACCATAATATTGAAAGATTTAGGTCGTTTGTCGTTGTTGTTACAAACAACGTCAGAGAAATATGAGGAAGAATGTGCCGTTGGCCTTTGACTCATCTTTTCCGTACACGTGTCTCTTACTTGCAAAAACATTTTTGAGAAATGAGAAATATGACGATTTATGATAGAAATATTTAAATCCTTGCATCATTAAACATTATAGACAAATGTGTGACGTACTTACATGATATTGTTCCAAGAAGAAACCAGAAGATTTTACCTTAAACTGTAAGGAAAAAGGAAAATAAATAGCTATCTTCACTTTATGTCGTTGAATGTCCATCACTCTTTATCAAGTAATAATAGTAATAAAAAATAGTTTGCTGCGTAGCAATAACTGCCAAAACCATGAAAGATTAACTACTAATTAGTGTTTTGCTTTTACATTTAAGACGATTATTGACTCTCCTTTACTTTAGGACATGGATTGCCCTGACCGACAAGAGGAAGGAGAAGATGCAGATGAATTCCCCGAACTACCCTTCTCTGTGAACATATCAGACAAATAGTTTTCAATATCCTCAGGGGTAAATCGGACAACTGAGCTCAAGTTTCTCGCGCCACCGGCTCCCGCCAAGATAACAGAACCTCTCGTGTTGTAAAACTCGCGATAAATCGGCACCAGCTTTCTCGCTATCGATACTTTGATCTCGTCTCGTAGATTTGGATCAGCTACGACGCAGACACTGTGTTTAGCGTACGCGTTTTCGAAGCTCTCGCTGAATTTTTCAAACCGCTCCTTGACTTCTTCCGGCGTCATCTCCACCGTACGATTCTCAGGTAAAGAAGAAACCACTGGTCCCCAAGCCAGTCGCTTATAGCTACCGGCGAATTGTCTCATCTTAGCGAAATGTCTCGTGATCCAATCCTCGCCGAGAAGGTTCTTCAGGTTTGAGGAACGAGCACGTGAGACCACGTGCTGGAGGTTGTTGGTGAGGAAGAGATACTGTACGGAGAAATCTTTGTAGTGAATTGATTTACGATCGATTTTACAAAGGAGGACGAGGATGAGCCAAGCGAATCTGATCGTCAGCTCCGACGACGGAGAGTCGTCGGATTCTGAGACATTGAAGTAAGACTCCGGTAGCAGCGATCTGTCCGGTGGTGGAGACCCGGCGAGGATATCAACGAGTACGTTGCTGTAGTCAGCGAGGAGAGAGAGATGATCCATGACGGAGATCGTCAGTGGATGTACTCCTCCGCCGGGAACCACCATCTTCGACGAATCGTTCTGAATTCCGGATTCGAATTCCACCAGTAGTGATCGAATCGATTCACTGAGAGAGATTAGAGATTTAAGTGCTAGAGATCTGACGACGGAGATCGAATCAAACGAGAAGATAGATTCAATCGCTTGCCAGTTTCCGGCGATCGCGGTATACATGTCAAGCAGCCGGAAAAGTTTCTCCGGCGGCGAGTGTTTCTTGCAAGTTTTGGTAGCAATGATCTCTGGGAATCCAAATAGAAGAAGCGCACCATCACGAGAGATATCACTAAAGCAAGACTCTCTAATTGCATCAGAGGATTCGAAGACATGGTCACACAAAATCTTCTCACCTTTGAAAAGAGTCTCCATGGAAACTTTGACTGCTTTTAACCAGCTTCTGATCTTCAACTCCATAACTTCCCGTGACATTTTCTTCACCTTCCCGGTACTCGTCTTCTCGACTTCTAAACGATAGATCCCTTCGTCGATTATCGACTTTCTAATGCTTTTATATATGCTCAAACACTCTTTCGCGTAACCAGAACCAATCATGCACTCAGCGATGGATCTCAAATCCGTCATGACGTTGCTAGAAACCTCCTCTAGTTCGACGATTGTATCTAGATCTTCAACATCTTCGGGGAAATCGGAGTAGCTAGATCTCGCTGAAGTAAGTGAAGAACGAGTAGAGACTGATTCTGGATCAAGATAAGCACGATTCATCGAAAGAATCTGGTAAAACTCCTTTTGTAACCTCTTCATAGCGATCTGCATAAGTTTATGTGCTCTTAAGAGCCTCTCCGAGTTCGGATCTTCACTCACCAGTACGTCCATAGTCTTCTGAAGATCCTTCACTCGTTCGATGAACACCATGGCTTCTTGTTTGTTCTCGTAGAACATAGAAGTAACTTTTGCGAAAGTGTTGGTCTCAGTGTTCCATCTCTCGATTATATCCGCCGCGGATTCAATGACTCCATAGATGGCCGCGGATTCCAAACTCTGGCGAGGCGTTAACGTAAGAGGAGGAGGTGGTGGATACTTAGACGGCGTTGTCGCTACGCAACAAATGTTTATCATTGCTTTTCGCGTCATCATCAAGTCGTCGTGGAAATTTCTAGAGGACTCAGTTTTTCGACGTTGAGAGAAAATTTGAAACGATAATGCAAGTGGTGAGAGAGTTTATGAGGGGAGAAGATTAAGTCGTTGAAGGGGGTATTTATAGGACAAAATGGCGTTAGAACGACGTCGTTAAATTAAATTTTGTGGTGAGGAAGCGACGAAAAGTTGGTGTTGAATCTTGCCAAATTTTGTTTAACTCTGGGCCTACACGTGTACTGGCCTTTGCATGATTTTGTGTATTCTCTCTCACTATAATGACGTTTAACCTTTTTTACATGTTATATATAGTTTCATATCTCGAGTTTACGACTGTATTTAGAAAGTAAATAAGATTAACTTTACGATTAAAGAAAAAAAATCATTTACGTATTCACCGTAAACAATTTTTTATCATAATAAATAAATCTTAACGTTCGCAGAATCATTTCTATGTTACATTGTATATATCTCATAAATATCTTAGTAACTAAGATTGTACAGTTTTATGTCAATAATCAAATTCACTCTTAAACGTAAGCGTGCGTATACAACTATGAATGTATCTTAGGAGGGGTTATTGGATCATTGATTTGAATAGAATTAGAAATCCCTATCACATTTGGAAATTCACACATAATCCACTGATTTTAAAATCAAACAATGTGGATTTGAGAATCAAATAAAGTTGATTTTAGAGTCAAATAAAATGGATTTGAAAATCATAGAAAAGAGATTATAAAATTAAAACATGAAATTTTTTATGATAAACAAAATAACCTATCATGTTCTCATCTATGAACTCTGAATTGAATTACTCCACATGTTTGATGCTCTTGTTTCTCTCCACTGATTGTTCTCTCCACACATATGGGAAAATATCAAAAAAGTCCATAATTTGGAAAAAAAAACGTTCGTTACGATGCGGTTAAAGTGATTCACCAATTGGGGATGAAAGAAATCTTTGTTAGTATGTCTACTAATGAACGTCATGGTTGGATTAAGCGTAACATTATGGAATGTTAGATTAATTTTTATTTGTTTTCTAGTATTGTTGGTTTTCTAGAATTTTTCCTCTAGTCTTGTTTGGTTTCGAAAACCTTCCTTTATTTTCTAGTATTTTTGATTTTTATTATATGATAAAAATATACTTTTATATGAAGGTGTTTCATGATTTTTGGTATTAGCAGTTTTTTTTTTTGTGATCGATATGCTTGAAAGTATTATACGAAGATGTTTCATGATTTTTGTATTAGCAGTTTTTTTTCTTTTTGATATTCAAAACATTATGGAAAATAAAAACTACTAATATTTTTTTTTTTTCAAATCCACCCAAATAACTAGGTGGAACCCAAGGATTTCAATTTCTCTATTTATAACTAAAACAGATTTTCAAATCCATTCAAATCCAATATGAAATCAAATCCATACTCAAATCTTCAATATTGAATAAGAGGTGATTTGAACTAGTATTTGTAAATCATAGAACCAATAACACATGATTTTTATAAAGATTTTAAAATCAATGATTGAATAACACATGATTTTAGTTAGATTTCCAATTCCATTCAAATCAATGATCCAATAAACCCCTCTTAGTGTTTGCTTGACCCTTGAGTTATCCGTCAAGTCAAACACTCAAATTGCAACCTTGAATCTTACGCTATTTGTGGATGCATGGTCCAAACAATATGTTTTGCGAAACAAAAAGTTATAGATGTTTATAATATTATTCTTTAATTGGAAAGTAAAATGATTAAATGAAAAGGTCAATATGGTATATGGATCGCGTCACTCATGTCAACAAAATTATCGATGTTTGACACATGACCGCAATATAACGACTTGAGTATGTTTTTTTTTTTCAATTTTCTTATAAAGACTTGATCAGTAAGTTACTACGAGAGATTTCTATAATTTCAATAGACCCAAAACTCAAAACAAAATCTCTTTGTTTTTTCAAAATTTTCACCCTTATTTATCAGATTTTGAAATATATGCACACACTATATGTTGTATTTTCATATTGAAAGCGAATGTGTCAATGTGAGGTTCCCGGCTTAATAATACGTGTTCCCACAACTTTCCCATTAAATAAAGAACTAAGTTTTAAAATAAATATTAAAAACAAACAGTATATAATATACAGTGATTCAATGTTTATATAGTCTAAAACTGTTTTGACCTAAAATGTTTAGAGCCTATACACGATTTAAGGTGATGTAAACAAACAGTATATAATATAACATAATTTTATTAATAAATTGTACATGATTACAAACAAGATATATAATAAATTAAGTTTTATAAGTGGTAAGATAAACCAATAATTATTGTGAATTTTTTTTTATTTTTGTAGAATTTGTCCAATAAGTAAAACGAAAATAACAAAAAAAGTTTATACAATTTCATTACATCATTACTTAAATTCCATCTCATCCATATACACCTACTAAATTTAATATAGTTAAATTACTTAATTGTAAATAAATGATCATAATCGATACGTAAGATACTTAGAAATTAAATTCTTCGATAATGATATATAATGGACTAATAGAATCATTTTTTTCAACCACGTGTAAACTATGTATATATAACTTTTTGTCAACAATTTGTTACAGATAGCTTATACATCGAATAAGATATCCTATCCATATTCTGATATTCATATGTGGATTCGAGTTTATAAAATGATTTCAAAGTTGTTCTCATCAAAGTCAAATTCAGCTTTAAATATTCGCAAGGCGTAACAATTATCAAATAGCGGTACATTTTTGCTGACATATATATTGTTTCCTCGAGACTTGTTTATCATATAAGTCGTCAAATTTGAAACACAACAACAGCCCTAATATAGTAGTGCTAATTTTTATTTGTATATACAAAATATATAGCTTTATTTTTTTATCAGTAACCGAGAGATTAGTCTAACAACATTTTATTACCAAAAGTGGTACACCAAAAAATGCGTCAAATCAACTTAATTATATTTCTGCTTTTTGTTTGTCTGTCAATGATTCTAAGAAACAACGAGGAAGTTTAGTATATACATACTGATCAACGCATGATTCGTGATTAGATGTAAAATAACGACAATTCGTTAGAGATTACTGGAAGATAAGTATTTAGAAAGTTCTGTGATCATCTAACCAATCGAAAAATCGAATTTCGTTTTATGGTCTAGTGCTAGTTAGATCTAGCGCAAGAAGAAAACTCTTTTTTTTCAACCGGCGAGGCAGCGTAGGTAAAACCCCAGCCCTTTATTCTTGAACCCTTGGGGCACGCACATTCACATGCATACTTTTACATAATCTTCCAAAGTTTTTACTGTTGTTCTTTGATGATTGGTCCGTACACGTAATTTCAGGAGTCACGATCGATCACGACTCCAAGCCAAAGTACGCCCGTTTGAAAAAGTGGACAAAGCAATAATTAAAATATTTATTCGAATTGATATTCCAATTAAAAGTTGAATTAGGCTTCAATATAACATCATGCATTAAATAATCTAGCGATTCCAACTTTAAATTAAAAATATAAGTATTAGTTCATATGCAATGACTTATCTCCAGGGTATTCAAAACATGTGACGACATGGCATACTAATCTTGATAACAAAAATAAATATATAAATATGGATTCTATAAATATTTGTTTGGAATATAAAACTCCACGATAAACAAAATCTATGTGTGAAAGAAACCACATTACGGGTTAGCACCGCGTAAACATTGTTTAATCCTTCTACCGACTAACATCTTATTCATGACGATTAAACATAACACACACAAAGATTTATCGATGTGTGAGTATACTTCACCATTTACAAGATTTTTCTTTTTCAAATAACATTTCACATATGATGACATTTGATCCATGTTAAAGAAAATTTTATATTCCAAATTAGATTTCATAGTATTCGATGACATTTAATTTTATTCATACCAAATAGCACAATTTTACTAAGTTTTGGTCACAAATATGTCATTTGAGTTGTACGATTCACATTTTTATGTAAGAAATAACGGAATTTTCGATTAATTTTCTATACTATTGGGTTACTTTTCAAAAATTCCTAATAATATGTGTAGTTCGAATCTTGCTACCCAAAGAGTTAACATGAAAAAAAGGAGTTATTTAGAGAGTACTTATATTGTAAACAATGAAAGCCTAATGAAAGACCGCATAGCGCAGTGGATTAGCGCGTTTGACTTCGGATCAAAAGGTCGTGGGTTCGACTCCCACTGTGGTCGTTTCCTTTTTGGTTTTGACACATATATTTCTGTTTTTTGGTGGGGGAAATGGAAAAGGTCAACTGGCCATTCACATTCCGACGGAAAAAGACGTAATTGTCGTAAACGATGTATCATGGTTCCGACTTCCCACTCTTGTTTAGTTCAAACGCCCCCAAAATGTAGAATCAAGAAAGAAAAAAAACGAAAGTTCCACGTTTTGTCTTTTATTTGTTTTCGATAACATGATATTTTTTAACAGATTCCTTTGTAGTTTGTATTTTGTAATCACAAAAATATTTTTGATTTTCGTCTTGTGATTAATATTAGTAACATTCGGAACCAATGCTTTCTAAGAATCACAACAGAGTTGACAACTTAAAATTGTATGTTGCGATTGAAGTTCAACATCTACATTGGGCAAGGGCAACGAAGCCTGAATTCAAAATGAATGAAGACCAAAGTTCCTTGTGAGATGAGAGTATTTATTGTCTTCTGGTATCTCTTACGTTCATGTCGGATTATTGCTAATGAGTTACAAATTTCTTTGAGCTCAACAAAACAAAATATTGAAAATATAGAAGCAAAAGATCATCAATAATAACCAAAATCCAAGTATCAGAAACTGTTTGAGACGACAAAACAAGTGAAAAAGAACAAGAACAAGTTTCCATCAAAAACCAAAGTAGAAACAGTTTCTAGCAGCTAAACTTAAACTTTGATAGCGTACTTCCTTATTGGGAAATACATCTCCTTCTTCTTCTCACGCTCTGTCTTCAAAGAGGCCTGCAATGCCCAAGAACAAGATAAGAACATCAGGCGTTTGCAATATAAAATCAATAGAGAGTTTGTTAAGAAACTGATTCAGCGAAATCGACAGACCTGGTGTTTGGTGAGACGTCTGCGGATAGCACGGGTCTTCTTGGGACGGAGATCAAGAGGAAGAAACTTCTTGTTCTTGTATGCTTCTCTTAGAGCAGACTTCTGCTTCTGAGAGGACACTGTCAAAACCTGAGCTATGGATTTACGCACAACCTTGCTGCAAATGACAAACACAACACAATCAAAACCAGGAAATGTAAAAACCAAAAAACACATTCACATTTTCAACAAGACGCTTAATGAAATCAAGATACGAGTTCATAGATACATAAAACTTAAGGATAATAAATCTAAATGATTCCATCATCTAACTATTAACAAATTTGAGTAAGAGACAAACTTAAGTAGACATCAATTTAGAATCCTAGCAACACTCCAAATCGAGAAATGCTTAAGCTAAAATCGAAATCTAAAGTTTGTCAACAATACGTACATTTTAGAGAGCTTGTTAGGAGCACCTCCGGTGACTTTGGCGACACGAAGGAGAGCGAGCTCAGCTTTGAGTTCCTTAAGCTGGTTTTGAAGATCGCTCTTCGACTTTTCCCTCAACTCGTGAACCTTAATCCTCGCTAAAAAAAAACCGAACGAAACAGATATGAATAAGACGTAATTCTCCGGTGAAAACGAAACAGATTAAAAGACATTTAGGGATTAGCCATTGCCATACCCATCGTGAGCTTGACTTGTGTTCAACTTCTGCGCCGCTGCTTGCTCTTCTTTTTGCTCCGAGAATCAGAAACCCTAATCACTGAGGTATGGGAATTTTATATATGAAGTCTCGATATTGGGTCGTATAAAGCCCATAGATTATTCATACCCAATAGCCTGACTTAAGAGAAACCATTAATGGGCCTTAGCCCATTTATATTCACTCTCATAGGAAGGAGTCCTTTTTGGTTTGGGTCAGTCATCACTTATTTAGTTTCATCATCAAATACTCTCACATGAACTGTTTAAACCACCAATTTTCTTACAAAAATCGTAAGAGTGTTGTAGTATGTAAAATCTCCGCTTTTTCATTTTCCACACTTGGTAAACAAGGAAGGCATCGAAAGCCTAGCAAATGTTAATAAATAGCAATAGACATTATCGTAAGCTACGATGACTCTCCATTGCTTTGAGGTGGTCGCAGTCTCTCTGGACGGATGATTCATCGGCATAACCCTTGCAACTTGCTCGAATTGCTTCGCAGCTTCCTCTTCCTTATTCATCAATATATACACGATTCCTTGAAACAGATATATAGTGAAATCTTCTGGATCATCTTTCACTAACTCTTCACAAATCCGAATGGCTTCAAGTGAGTTTCCTTGGATAAACTTGATCTGCGCGATCAACATTCTGAAACCACAAATCTCTTTCGCCTTCTTCTCCTTCTTGCATCTTCGAATCACTTTGTTGATTCTCTTCTCTAGCTCTGTTAATTTGGGTTTAGAGTTGTAATACTCCATCACCAAGTAATGATAAGCGTCAACACGTATCGGGTCCTTCTCAAGAATCCTCTCGAAAGCTTCGATTGCCAATTCGCTTTTTCCGTGGTATGAGAGAATCCTAGCCTTCATAGCCGGCCATTTTCGTTCATCGGGCTCGATCTCGATCAGACGGTCCAGAACTTCTATTGCCTGCTCATGTCTATCGGACTTAAATTTGATCTCCGTCAGCAATGATAAAGCTTTCACATCGTTTGATAGTATCTCGAGAGTCTCCTCTACCACAGCAACCGGAGTCGTCGCGGCGGGTTTGTAGACGAAGTAAAAGGATGCTGAGAACAGAGCTGCGGCTGCGGTGAGGCTGATGAAGCAGCGAGGGTTTATGATTCGACGGAGACGATGACGATGAAGCTCTGATGGTCGGAAATCTGGTCGGTGTTGACTTTGCTTGGTCTCTGAATAAAAGGGGAAAGGAGAGATTTTGAGGAGATTTTCGCTCGAGGTAGGTCAGAAGGTTAAATTTTGGTCTAGAGAGTTGAAAATTCGCCGGAGACGCCATTGTTGCTTCTGATAAAATCTCTAAAAACCAACAGGTCAACGCTGAAATGGAAAGAGAAGAACAAAGCAGATCTCAGTTGGAAAACGACGAAACTTTCAAAAAGGAAGCCGTCTTATAAAAGGCCAAGGCCCATTAGATGAGCCCACGATTAATTTGGTTCTTCTCGTGATTTCAACCGTAGATTATCTTCTATCAACGAACGTGATAACGCCACGTATACGATCCGTGTGATTGATCAGAAACCAATCATGTTTGTATCAGCACCTCTATATATAAGATATCTCGGAAGCCATCATAAAACGCCAATTCACTGGTCGCGAAATCTTCCGAATTTTATCGAAATCAATGGCACCGAAGGCAGAGAAGAAACCGGCGGAGAAGCAACCAAAGGCAGAGAAGAAGATTACGAAAGAAGGAGGAAGCGAGAGGAAGAAGAAGACTAAGAAGAGCACAGAGACGTACAAGATCTACCTATTCAAGGTGTTGAAACAGGTTCATCCTGATATTGGGATCTCTGGAAAAGCCATGGGAATCATGAACAGTTTCATCAACGATACCTTCGAGAAAATCGCTCAGGAATCGTCAAAATTGGCTAGGTATAACAAGAAGCCGACGATCACGTCCCGGGAAATCCAAACCGCCGTAAGGCTCGTGTTGCCTGGTGAATTAGCGAAGCACGCTGTTTCTGAGGGTACCAAAGCCGTCACAAAATTCACCAGCTCTTAGATAGATTCTTCTTTTTTTTCTCTTTGGTTTTATTTTCTTGTTTAGGGAATTTCGGATGGATTGTGATATTTTCTCGTCTGGTTTATATTTTTATCAGTTGATCTCAAAGATATGAAAAATATAATGAAATTTTCGGCAGTCTCTAATTGATTTTACGTTACGATGCTACTGAAATTAGGGTTTCCAAATCTTTGGGTATAAGCAAAAATTGTGAGGGGTTTGTTTTCTTCTTCAGTTTTCCCGGGAAAGAAACGGAAATTATAGATCTGGAGATTTTTAATGGGCCCAGCCCAACTAACACTAATCTCAATTTAGTCTGAACCGATAAAAATTGAAATTTGAAACTATACCGTAGCAAAACAAACCGAACCGGAATCATCACCAGTCTTGGAAGTTCCAAATCTCTGAAGTGACTCCTTTGAATCGGCACCGTCACCGATCTCTCTTTCTACAGAGTTTGACTTTCAATCTCCGTGGAGCTCCGCTCATCTTTCCCGGAGTTGTAGTCTGTGAGGTGGCCGGACGAATTCTCCTCCATGGATTCTCGAAACGACGAGGAGGCGCCGTTGGTCTCAGCCTCTGGTGAGGATCGGAAGTTCAGAGCTGGAAAGAGCTACACAAGGGATGTTCATATCCTCAGCATCTCCTTTCTCTTAATCTTCCTCGCCTATGGTGCTGCTCAGAACCTTGAAACTACTGTTAATAAGGTTCTCCATCTTTCGTTTCTTCCATTTTCGTCAATTTTTGTCTCATGGAAGATCAGAAAGGAAAGGAGTAGAAGAAGATACAAGTTTTCAATTTCTGATGGATGTTATACTATCATTTGTTTTTTTAGGGGTTAAAATATTATGCTGTCATTTTGTATTGATGGATCTTGAGAGGACTATGAATTTAGGAGCAGGACACGTTAGACTGTGTTGTCTATAATTAATTTGAGACACGAAATTTTCTTAGTTGGATTACATTTTGTGTGTGTGTGTGTGTGTGGTGATATTGAGTTGTTTTGATTGTTTCAGGATTTGGGAACAATATCTCTAGGGATATTATATGTGTCCTTCATGTTTTGCTCCATGGTTGCATCTTTGGTTGTCCGGTTAATGGGATCAAAGAATGCTCTGGTTTTAGGAACTACTGGGTATTGGCTCTTTGTCGCTGCCAATCTGAAGCCATCATGGTATCCTCTTTATGTTCTCTTGTTTCAATGACTAGCTGTTACTTCTCTTGACTATCTCTCTCCATCTACTTTACTCTCTCAGACACTAACACTTTTCTCTTGATATATGGTTATTGGTTCTAGGTTTACTATGGTACCAGCCTCTTTGTACCTTGGATTTGCAGCTTCAATAATATGGGTTGGCCAGGTGAAACTACATGCTCTTGTTTTCTTTATGTTAATTATGCGGATATATAGTGGATTTCATGACCTTAGATTAAATTGTATTGACTGCATTAGGGAACATACCTTACGTCAATTGCGAGAAGCCATGCTAAAGATCATGGCCTGCATGAAGGTTCGGTAATCGGTGTCTTCAATGGGGAATTTTGGGCTATGTTTGCCTGCCACCAGGTGCATGTTTGTTTGATTATACTTTCTTAATGCTTCCTTACCTCAAAATGTTATATGCACGTACCCTAAAATCTTCTTCTGACTCATTTCATGTCAATCGGTTTGTAGCTATTTGGGAACCTCATCACACTTGCATTACTGAAAGATGGAAAGGTACTAACTTTTGTTTATCGTTGACATCAATCTTCTAGTATGCATTAGAGTGTATGTTAATATAAATTGACTACTGGTTAATGAAGTAATTAGTCCTAAGGTTGAAGTATTGAATAGCAGATGCTTCATGCTACACATTCTCAGTGATGAGTTGTGTAATTCTCCTTCTAGTTGGGTAGCCCCACCATTGTTTTCTTCTTGTTGGCATGACTGTAGGAAGGAAGCACCAGTGGCACTACCTTATTGATGTTGGTGTTTCTCTTCAGTATGACATTAGGAACAATACTAATGTTCTTCATTCGGAAAATTGACGGAGAAGATGGAAAAGAACCTGTGGGTTCTCCTGTGGGCTTAGTTGATTCCTTGGTTTCTCTTCCAAGGATGATAATCACTCCTTTGCTCGACATACGGATGCTACTGATTGTCCCACTCCTTGCATATTCAGGATTGCAACAAGCATTTGTTTGGTATGTCTCTCAACAAACGGGATATACATTCCTCGTTTTCCCTTTTTTCTCACAAGGGTAGCATTAAATAAAGTACTGTCACGGCGCTCACCTAGGATTTCAGACTTCACCAGTGATTAGGATTTATTCTGCTGATCAAAGTATTATCAGGCCTTAGATAACTTACATAAAATTCATTGTGGTGGTTGGAGTCTCAGGCTCTCAGCATTGAATAGTTGTTTCCAACCTATACATAAGTTCTCAATTCTTGTCAGCGAAATCAGCTATAGTTTGTTATTTTTTTGTGTAAGATATACTGACATTAATATACATCTTCATTATTCTTACAAGTTACGTCTTCCACTTTATAGGGCTGAGTTTACAAAGGAGATTGTTACACCGGCGATTGGTGTCTCAGGTGTCGGTGGGGCGATGGCAGTCTACGGAGCTCTTGATGCAGTTGTAAGTTTGAAGCAAAAGTGAAAAATCACCCTTCTTTTACTGGCATGGGTGTTATGTGGTTGATCCTTATTTTTCCTACTGTAAATCAATCTAGTGTTCAATGACTGCTGGAAGGTTTACCTCTGGTTTGTCATCAATCACCTTCATAATTTCCGGTGGAGCTGTTGCTCAAGCTTCGGTGTTTCTCTGGCTTCTTCTTGGGTACAGGTTTGTTACTTTTACACCTTATTAACCACTGACGTCCACCTATCGTTTTGCATTCAAACCAATAGAAACTTCAAAATAGAGACATATTGAGTCGATAACTCCTTACGTTTGTGCTTTCATGAAATGATTTCCTCATAGAACTTCATTACTGGTATTGGTATTAATATTGTGGGCGTTGATCAAGGAAAATTCCTTTTGGAAGTATCCTGTTTTCTTTGTCATATATGTGAAATTATGCAAGAGTCAGGTTCTTTTACTGATCAGAACTAGGAAATGTGTGAAACTGACATTTGAAGAAGCTAAGCTATGGTGTGATATGAATTGATGATGCAGGCAAACGAGCGGAGTACTTGGCACAGCTTACCCACTCATAATGGCGGCGATATTAGGAATTGGTGACGGGATATTAAATACTCAAATCAGTGCTCTTCTCGCATTACTCTTCAAGCATGACACGGTTAATATTACCAAAACGATATTATTATTATTTTCATTCACTTAGAAACATGACAAAACCTCGAAACCTTCTTCTTTGTTTGTACTTGTGGAAACAGGAAGGAGCGTTTGCGCAGCTAAAAGTATGGCAGAGTGCAGCAATAGCAATAGTGTTCTTCCTAAGTCCATACATATCACTGCAAGCAATGCTCATAGTGATGCTTGTTATGATCTGTGTTTCACTCCTCTCTTTCCTGTTTTTAGCTCTTAAGGTAGAGAATGTATTTACCCACAACGAATGATCAGTTCGCATTCGGGGAGAATCACAAGTGTGAAAAGCGTAAACATTATTCTCAATTCAATTGTATAAGAAGAAAAAAAAGGGTCGTTTTGTACAATAATAATGTCTCTGGAAGTTTCATATAAATTGGGTGGTATGAAACTTTCCAACTCTTCAGTCTTCCATTTGACCATTTCTTTCATTTGCCGTTTTAATTCTATCCGGTTCGCAAACCGATGTCGACCAAACTAAACCACAATAACCAAACCTAATAAATACTACTATGATTTATCGGTTAAATTATTAATAAGAAACGACGTCGTTGGAGCTAGATTTTACTTTTCCATTAATTCTGTAAAACATCTATCTGCTCAAAAGTTGAGAAACACCATTTCACGAGTTCCCTGCTCTTCCAGAATTCTCTCTTTCACGAAATTCTCTGCGCTTTCGAAGGTAAATAATAATAATTGGTGATCTTTGTATCTTTCTTCATATTTTGGGTAAGCGGATCTTAGGCTGCATGATTTTGTCCCCGACTGTGATCTGAGCAAAGTCTTTGTTTCATCTTACTGCTATCAGATTCAATGAATGTCGTGTTTTGGTTATCTTATGAATCAATTTCTTTTTGATTGTCACGTATTGTTCTTACTGGATTTCGTGTTCTCGATCAGGTCTTGTTTGTAAAAGAAATATATTTTGAATTTGTAATCAAAATCATGGATGTATGACCGTAATTGTTGCTGCCAATTTTGATAAAGATTCGAATATAATATAGAGTTTGGATATGTTTAGAAGAGTTGATTTTGGGGTGATTTCTACTAGAACTAGCTGAGAATGGAGTACAAGTGAATATATGTTTGGTTTTAGCTGAATTGTTAGTCTTCACATGCCAAGCTTATCTCTTTATTCTAATATTCTCCTGTGGTTATTTGTGTTACAGATGTTTGATGATCAAGATCTGGGCTTCTTTGCCAATTTCCTGGGAATCTTCATTTTCATACTGGTGATTGCCTACCATTTCGTCATGGCTGACCCTAAATTCGAATAGATATGGGACAATCATTGTTGGTTTCTACAATGATCTGTCGGACTCAACATGACATTCGCATTCCATACTTGAAGATGTTTTTTTGTAGCTCTTAAGGAACATGTTTAAGCTCTTGTAATGCTTGGTTTTAGCTGCAGAAATCTTTTTTGTAATGCTGTTATTCATATACTTTGGTGATTCAATATAAAAGGCTTGTTTCTAGAGCAATTTCCGGGGTTTACGAGTTAAATTATGGGCGGATTTGATATCTGATTACTCAGCTTTGAGGGTATTCTGTCTAATATTTGTGCTGCAATCTGAATAGGTTGGTGAAAGGTTTGCTGTATGTGTTTTTTTTTTTTACATGTTCATTGATACATGACCAACCATGAGGCCATGTATCTGTTAGAGCTAGAGCTAGATGAATTCCAGTTAACAATGAGAATTGTTCTGTTTGCTCTATGTTTTGTTCCGCTAGAGAAACAATTTGCTTCATTTCCTACAATCTTTTTTCCTTGCATTAATCTTGTACACCAAATGTTTCTTACATAAATGGTATGTGCTATAGTTAGTTTACATCCTATAGAATTCTTCCAAAATCAAGTTGTATGGGTTATTTCTATCATAATACATATTGTTTCTTGCATCAATCTACTTATGCAAAACCCTAGACTGCTCAAACATAGAGCAGTTTCACTCTTGAGGACCTCTTCAGCTGTGTTATCACTTATCTTGTCAGTTGCTTCCTTCAGTAGCATTACGAAAGAAACCGAAAACCTCTCTGCATCATCCTGGCTTGGACCCAACTCCATGTTTGAGTAGTTTTCGTTGGATGTTGTTCCTGCTTCAACATCATGGCAGATCTTTCTTTTCTGCAACTCCTTTTGGAGTCTTGCTTGAGACTTGGTTAAAGAGCATTTCACCGATGGGTGAAGCTTTTCTTGAAAGGCTCTTAGCTCATGAGTGATGTTGTCCCAAGGAAATCCTAGTGTTGGTTGAACTCTAGATAGATTTTTGAGGCCATCACAAACATACAGACAAAGGTCAGATATCTTCGAGAAAGAGCCCAAAAGCTTGTTGTAACTGACCGCGTTGAGTGGACAGAGGAATGGAATCTTAGGCTCTGTTAAGGCTTCTGCTGTTAACCTCTCTAATGCTTCAACATGAAATTTGAGTTTTGCCTGCCTTTTTCTCAAATCTGTTACCACTGACGTTTTCTGGTTCTTCTGCTCAGAACAAAGAACCAGTGATTGGATGCAATCTAAGAGGGCATCGAGACAGTGTGAAAGTTCGGTTTTTGCAAGAGTTGCTGCTCTTGCAGGGGTGACAAGAATCTCCCCGAAGACAAAACAGAGCAACCCGATTGAAGCTTCAACAATGCGAGCGATTGCAAATTCGGTTGGAGCTCCATAATTTCTCCTTCCAAGTATCAACAGTGCAGCAATTGCAGCTGTAACTCCTCCAGGTTGGCCATAGACTTTACTGTGCCTCATGAAGACGGCCAAGATTATCCAAGGGAGCAGAGGTAAGAACCTGAATTCTTCTAGTCTTTGGAAAACAGAACAACATATTAGACCGTAGACTGATCCCATCGCTGTCCCTTGTAGACGAGAATTTGCTACTGTTAATGTTGCTTGCCTACCGCTTACAAGGCTAATGGCTACAGTTAGACCCGACCAATACCCGTTCTTTTTATTATACATTATACCAAACAGCACCGCGAGGCCTAGGGAAATTGAGCACTTGAATGCAAAAACAAACCTTTCTCTGGCCATCCAGACACATAGAATGTCCCAAACCTTTCTGGCCATGGACAATCCTTCGTGTTCTGGGTGAATTTCTTCCTCTGTGTTACTTATATTTACGGATTTACTGTCTTGTCTCAAAGATAAGAAATCACCTCGGAAGAGTTCTACGCAATATCTGAAGAAGCAAACGGGTAAAGCTGCAGTAGACAGAGACCCAGCCTCAAGATGCCACCCTAGACTATCTTGGGACTTGAGAGTAGATGCCGAATTGGAAGCAATCTGTGTTCTGGGACCTTCTAAAAGACAAGTCAGTTCGTCGCGGCTCATGCTTTGAGGAAAGGAACTGCAAGAACCCAATGCCAGCTCCAGTCCCCTCATCAGAAATTCTGTTGCATGGAGTTTCTCTCCAGGATCCAACTTCTGCTTCCTTCTCAAGAATCTTGTATCTGGTCGCTCCCATGCCATACGCTCCTGTTGCCAAATAATAGATTCATCAGAAACAGATGATTAGTCCCACAAGACGAGCCGAAAAAAAAAGGGTTACAGTTTTCTAACAGATGATACTTCAATGATTATGTGTAATTTTGTTAAGACTTAAGAAAGTTGGCTTACATGGTGGATTTTGATGTTCTTGAGTGTGTTTTTAGCTGCTACAGACAATGAAGCTGCCCTTGCGAGCAAAGCCTGAGCTGTGGTGTTGTCTCGAGCCATCATGATCTCGACAAACATATTCACCCTCTCAAGAGCATTTTCAGCATATAATTTGCAACCCTTACTCATCTGCAAACCATTTAAAACCCAAGGTAAGTATTTTGTGACCGTTTAATCGTTATGGAATAACAAAAAAAATAAAAAAAATCTCAAGTCTCACCTGACTATGAGCCAGCCTTGGAAACGGGAGAAGCACTGCGATGAGAGAAGCAATGGCTCCAAGTGCTGTACTACCCGCCACATGAACCGGGAGCATGAAAACATGAGCCACCTCTCCATTGAACACCACAAAAGTCACGTAGACAACAACGATCTGCCCAAAGGCAATCCGTTTAGTCAGCAGACTTGTGGACACGGGGAAAGCCACTAAGAATGAAGCTAGAGCCACAGCAACTGGAGCCACCAAGCCATTCCCTAGTGAAGCTGGTCCAACCACCAAGACACTCACTAGCACAATGGCTATTGTCTGAAAAGTGGCGTAAGAGACATCAAGACAGCACTTGAGTACTTCACCGTATGTTGGTTCAGCATCAGAGAGCCAGATCAGGATTGTGGTCAAGTAAGAAAAGGCTGGAAACGTTGTGAAGTGTCTTAGTGGTTTGGGACCGTACAAAGTGGTTAAGCTCACGATGAGACAAGCCATGGCGGTTCGCAGAGCCAGGCCAAGTCGCTCGAGCCATGCTGTGTCGCGCATTCTTTAAACGAATAGTTTTAGTGGATTTGTATGTAGGAATACTTATTAGATCAAGATGATGAGATGAAGGTTATGGTGAGCAAGAAGACTACGTATATATAAGGTGTGATGGGATTTAAGGTGGCAACGTCAAAGAGTTAAGACTTATGAGCAGCTGTCTTCTTGCTCCAAGTAATTTCATTTTCTATATTGTGTAGTTACCAAACCAAACCAGACTCTGTACTGCACCATGCCCATCCGGTTTTCGGTTTGATTTTTGGTTAGGATAGTTTATTATTTTGATTTTGGGGATTAAAACCAATTTGAAATATATTCTCATTCTTTTCTTACACGGTTCTAGTTTAGTAGTTTTGGTACCAATTTCAAGTTTGATTGAGTCTTCTTATTTTCCGAATACTCTTCGTATATAGAAGAAAGAAAATGAAACTGGTGATAGACCAAAATACAACTTGAATCACTTTTTGGATATAGTTTGGTAAGATTTAAACCAAATGGGACAACTCTAAATTGAGGTATATGTGGGAAACAAGTTAAAATCAGCTGGTAACATACCACAAAACTAAAACGTATTGGCTTCAAATAATTGACAAAACAGTGTTTTCTCCAAGTTTCTCGAGAGTTTAAAATGTTATATCTCCACGTAATCGACCTTTCATTTTTCGATTTAAAATTTGGTCGACCGAAAAAAAGGGTAAGATTAATTATAGGAATAAGACAAAAGAGAAGAAGAAGAAGTGATATGAAAGAGAAAGACATTAGTCTCATCAACAGTTCGAGCTCAAGTAGAGAGCATTTATCACAAGCTGCACGCTTCATGGTTAGTATTGTTTCCTCTTCATCAGGTAATTTCCATGGAATCATCAATTTGGTCCTACTCTATCATATACTTGGTACTTGTACACCTATTTTATTTTCACTTTGTGGCTGCAAATTTCTGTGCCACAAAATTCGTTCTTTTTTATAATATATATCTAAAAATGATTTCCTTTTTTTTTTGTTGAGTTTTTAAATTGGTTGATTCATTTATATAATATATTCTTTTAGAATGTTGAAGTTATTACATAATTACGTATACCGTCCATTTTGCATGCTTCTTCCACGTATTGTTTGGGGCTTAGTGTAGTTATATCAAAAGAGGCCCTCATTCTCTTGCACTTTACCTTTACCACATGCATTAGTTATTGCATACACATATTATAGTAAGCCCAAAACTCTTTACTCTTGTCAATCTCTTTCAATTCTTTGGGGGCTGCAGGCTGCTTTTGAATATGTAGCTCGAACAACTCAAAGTCAAACCATTCAAATTCTCTAGTTTATTGTTTTTATTCGGGAAAAAACCCGAAAAAACCGCCATCTATTTTTTTTGACTGTTTAATGCATGTGTTTTTAAATTTGGAATAAAAATACCTCATTTAATTTCGATTGCCTTTTAAAACTATCGTTTTTTAAAACTTGGTAATTTCGAACCCGACACTTAACAGTCGTTACTAGGCGAAACAGAATTATTTAACAGCATTAAATTTTAACCGGCAAAAAACCCGAAAAAATCGCCATCTATTTTTTTTGGCCGTTTAATACCTGTGTTTTTAAATTTAGAATAAAAATACCTCATTTAATTTCGATTGTCTTTTAAAACTATCGTTTTTAAAAACTTGGTAATTTCGAACCCGAAACTTAACAGTCGTCATTGGACGTAACAGAATTATTTAACAGCGTTAAATTTTAACCCCACGTGTTTATATAAATATATGAAAACTGCTCACAACACATTACGAGAATGTCAATGTGGCTTGGTGGTAGCGTGTGTCTTTTTCTAAACCACCAGATACGGGTTTGAATCTCAAACCTGTTTTTTTTTTCCTTTGTTCTCCACTTCGAATAACTTCCCATCAGTACAAAGTTAAGACTCGAAATGCAAACAAAAGATGAATCATAGAGCGATTTCAACAAATCGATCTAGAGCTGAGCTAATGATTCTGCAATTAGATCTACCATTGAAAAAGAACAGCAAATAAATCGACATCAATCAGATCACGATCTCTACATAAATGGGATGAATCACGGTAAAAACCCATTATCAAAAAGAGATTCGAGTGAAGAAGAGAAAGAAAGAGAGAGACCAGTTTGCATCATCGGAGATCTGAGAAGAAGAAGTCGTCGTCACCACCGGCGAAGAAGGCGAAGAACACAAAAAGAAATTAATAAAAAAAATGACGTTGAAGTCTTGAAGAGTCAGCTCTGAGGTTTACAAAATTGACATGCAACCGCCAAGCCACATTAACTATCACATAAAGTTTTGCAAACAGATAGTATATATTTATATAAACACGTGGGGTTAAAATTTAACGCTGTTAAATAATTCTGTTACGTCCAGTGACGACTGTTAAGTTTCGGGTTCGAAATTACCAAGTTTTTAAAAACGATAGTTTTAAAAGACAATCGAAATTAAATGAGGTATTTTTATTCCAAATTTAAAAACACAGGTATTAAACGACCAAAAAAGATAGATGGCGATTTTTTCGGGTTTTTCGCCGGTTAAAATTTAACGCCGTTAAATAATTTTGTTACGCCCAGTAACGACTGTTAAGTGTTGGGTTCGAAATTACCAAGTTTTTAAAAACGATAGTTTTAAAAGACAATCGAAATTAAATGAGGTATTTTTATTCCAAATTTAAAAACACAGGTATTAAACGGCTAAAAAAAATAGATAGCGATTTTTTTTGGGTTTTTTACCGTTTCTATTCTCAACATATTATCCATGGACCAATGACCATGGCTCATCTCACCGAAACTTTTTTTTGTCTCTTATTGTCCATCTATGTAAAACAACTGCCCTGGACTATCATTTGTCTAAAGGCTGCTTCACAAAACGTATGCAGCATACAATAAGCCCATTGGGCCTCTAGCTAAGTAATGTTAGTTGATTTGGAGAAAAACAAAAACAAAAAAGGAAAAAAAACTATCAATGAGTCACTGACGGTGACCAGTGGACCGACTCAAAAAGCCAATGAGAACGCAAAGAAATGTTAAGCCAATGACCGACTTTGGATTAACGACTAAGCCATCGAACCGAACATTCTCGAACCTTTTAAACGGCTTTGAGTCCCAACTTGATTCAACGCGCTTCAATTTTTTAAAGGCACGAAAAGGAAAAGTAGAGAAAAGAATCGTTCTAGGACCGTCAGATCCAACTCCGAAAGATCGTGCGGTTACATAGCGAGCCACCGAACATTCTCGAAACACGAGTCACAAGACTCTATATAGACTTCTCCTTCGACGACATATTCTGGAAAAAAAAAAAAACCTAGCCGCAATTCCCTCTATTCTTCTAAGATTTTTGTTCATTCGATTTTAGCTTAAACTTGAGCAAGCGTTAACAATGGCTGGTAAAGGAGAAGGTCCTGCTATCGGTATCGATCTCGGTACCACTTACTCTTGTGTTGGAGTTTGGCAACACGACCGTGTTGAGATCATTGCTAATGATCAAGGTAATAGGACCACACCGTCGTACGTCGCGTTCACTGATAGCGAACGGTTGATTGGTGACGCCGCGAAGAATCAGGTTGCTATGAACCCGATTAACACTGTTTTCGGTACGTTTTTCTTCTTTCCTCTTGCTTAATTTGTGTGTCGAAGTTGGGTTATATAAGTAGATCTCAACATGGTAGATCCATAGCGATGATTTAGGGTTTCATACGAATGTTTTAACACTGTTGGAGCTAGTGAGAGTCAATTTTCGATTTGATTTGCTTCTCATGTTACTATTATTAGACAAAAATACATATATTGTTGTGGTCTAATTGTGTTCAATTTTGTTATGTGACAGATGCGAAGAGGTTGATTGGTCGTAGATATACTGATAGCTCTGTGCAAAGTGACATCAAATTGTGGCCCTTCACGATCAAATCTGGACCTGCTGAAAAACCCATGATCGTCGTTAACTACAAGGGAGAGGATAAAGAGTTTTCTGCTGAAGAAATCTCTTCTATGATTCTCATCAAGATGCGTGAGATTGCTGAAGCCTACCTTGGTACATCGATCAAGAACGCTGTTGTTACCTGTTCCAGCTTTACTTCAATGACTCTCAGCGTCCAGGCAACTAAGGATGCTGGTGTCATTGCTGGTTTGAATGTTATGCGTATCATCAACGAGCCTAGTGCAGCTGCGGTTGGGTATGGTCTTGACAAGAAGGCTACAAGTGTTGGTGAGAAGAACGTTTTGATCTTTGACCTTGGTGGCGGTACTTTCGATGTCTCTCTTCTTACCATTGAAGAAGGTATCTTTGAAGTGAAGGCGACTGCAGGAGACACTCATCTTGGTGGTGAGGATTTCGACAACAGAATGGTGAACCACTTTGTCCAAGAGTTCAAGAGGAAGAACAAGAAGGATATTAGTGGTAACCCGAGAGCTCTAAGGAGGTTGAGAACCGCCTGTGAGAGAGCGAAGAGGACTTTGTCTTCTACGGCTCAGACCACCATCGAAATCGACTCTCTGTTCGACGGTATTGACTTCTACGCTCCAATCACCCGTGCCAGATTCGAGGAGATGAACATGGATCTCTTCAGAAAGTGTATGGAGCCTGTTGAGAAGTGTCTTCGTGATGCTAAGATGGACAAGAACTCGGTCGATGATGTTGTCCTAGTTGGTGGCTCTACCCGTATCCCCAAGGTCCAGCAATTACTCCTTGACTTCTTCAATGGCAAAGAGCTTTGCAAATCTATCAACCCCGATGAGGCTGTTGCATATGGTGCAGCTGTCCAGGCAGCTATTCTCAGTGGTGAGGGTAATGAGAAGGTTCAAGATCTCCTCTTGCTCGATGTCACACCATTATCTCTTGGTCTTGAAACCGCTGGAGGAGTCATGACTGTCTTGATCCAGAGAAATACAACCATCCCCACAAAGAAGGAGCAAGTCTTCTCAACTTATTCAGACAACCAACCTGGCGTCTTGATCCAAGTCTATGAAGGTGAGAGAGCAAGAACCAAGGACAACAACCTGTTGGGTAAATTCGAGCTTTCCGGTATCCCTCCAGCTCCAAGAGGTGTTCCTCAAATCACCGTCTGTTTCGACATTGATGCGAATGGTATCCTCAACGTCTCGGCTGAAGACAAGACAACGGGACAGAAGAACAAGATTACAATCACCAACGACAAGGGAAGGTTGTCCAAGGATGAGATTGAGAGAATGGTTCAAGAAGCAGAGAAGTACAAGTCAGAGGATGAAGAGCACAAGAAGAAGGTGGACGCCAAGAATGCTCTCGAGAATTACGCATATAACATGAGGAACACAATCCGCGATGAGAAGATTGGCGAGAAGCTTGCAGCAGATGACAAGAAGAAGATTGAAGACTCGATTGAAGCAGCCATTGAATGGCTAGAAGGGAATCAGCTAGCAGAGTGTGATGAATTTGAGGACAAGATGAAAGAGCTTGAGAGTATTTGCAACCCGATCATTGCAAAGATGTACCAAGGCGGTGAAGCTGGTGGTCCAGCTGCAGGAGGAATGGACGAGGATGTTCCTCCTTCTGCTGGAGGTGCAGGTCCCAAGATTGAGGAAGTCGACTAATAACATTCTCTCTCTTACTCAAGTCTTTATGTGTTTGTATTTCAACATTTTCCTGTTTTGTCCCCTCTTTTTTGGTTTTCTTTTTCTTGTGTTGACTCTATTTTGGGGGCTCGTTTATTTTGATTAGCTCCTTATCTTTTTAATCTACAACAGAAATGTTTTGATTAATTCTGCAAGGTTTTAGAGATACTTTCCCTTTTTATCTCTAAAACAATGAGACACGCATGATTCAAATCACCTTTTGGAACTGTGGTGAGTTGCTTTGGGAAGCTTGCCGAGATTCAACAAACATATTCATAACAGATATAGCCAAACAATGATAAGATTGAATATTATGTGTTTTGTTGATTTTAGAATACTTGACACAAATCATAATCCACTACACTACAACCAAGTTCTATTCGTTTACATCTTGTGAGGTCAAAGACTTAGAACCATGAAAGACATTGGTTGGTGTGGGTTTGGTAAGGTTTAGCTTGGGCTTGGCAAGGTCGGGAAATACATTTGATGTTGTCTGATCATCGTGGTTCTCGATATTCACCGATTCCAAGAAGATCCTGCAGGCAAAATAAATAAACAGCTTCGTAGAGCACCATGAATTGAACATTGAAGCTCAAAACATACACCAACATGAGTTCTTAATAATTGAACTCCTAAATATAATTTTCTTGAAGTTCATGTGCTTACATACCTAGTTTTTTTTCGTTAAAAAGGTATTCAATATTAGATCAAACATTGTGCAAGACCCATGTTTAGTAGTGAGCATTCAGTTTGATGGTAAAGTGCAAGATATCGGTGTGTTGTCTTGTCTCATTCCTATCAAATATGCAGGACCTTTAGGCTAAAACCTCTACATGTTAAGGTACTTGATTCTCTAAGCTTCTTTGTTACATTGAATTGTCATGCAGATGTTTGAAATTCAACAAGTATAGTCTGTGACAAAATGACATAGCAACTTAGTCAAGTAACTGGAGCATTGGAAGAAGAAGTTTACCTGACAAGCCCTGTTTTTGGCTCTGGTCTCTGCTGTGCTGGGAATATCGTGATTTGGTTTGAGAAATTTCTTCTCACGTCGCTCACAAGAACCCCATCCGTCAGCGAATCTTCCTCCACTGAGAGAGCCCATAAACCAAACGGGTAAACAACAATGATACATTACACATTATTTGCTAAACCCACCATCAAATTCAGGTTTATATAGAAGAACATTACTGCATAATGGCTCGAACGGTGAACTCAGCACGCTGGACATTTCTGTTTTCGTCGAATTCAATAGTCTTGTCTCTTATTTCATAAGACACATTGAAGTAAAACGATATTTTCCTCCAACCTTCACATTTCCATAAAATGCAGCATCAGAACCAATTTCGAATGTATAAGATATACAATAAGCGGACAACAAGCATAATCTTCACCTGACTTTTTAATGTATGCCTTCCCTGAGATCATCGTGTAGTCAGATTTTTCTAGAATCTGCAAAATTGATGAAGCAATGTTGTTACTTCCCAAACATAGCATTTGATGTAAAAGATCACAAATATGATAGTGCTTGTGTAATCAAAAACAGCAAACAAAAACTCTCTTTCACGCACATACACATACACACTAGTGATCTAGCTTGGGTTCTTTGATTTTTTCTCTTGAGCAGTAGATATAGGCATACTTATGAAGAAACTAAGTTACGAACAAGTCGCAATCGAACTAAAATCATGCAAAACAGTGCTTGACATTTCATCGAACACCTTCAATGCATAAAACTCTATCCCGAAATCAACAAAATCTAGGATAAATTTTACGATCTGTAATCTAAGAAGCTTCATGTTTCTTCATAGGTTCCACAAATCGAAAATTTATATGGATAAAGGAAAATCGAAATGATACCGCCATTGCTGTATTCTGGTACTCCTTGAACAGAGTAGCAGAAGGAAAGCTCCCAGACAAGCTATGTCGCATCTCATTAACCGGATCGTTCTTAACACAGCTCGCTGACGGAGAAACCTCCGCAAAGGGAGTAGACTGCCGAATTCCAGGCGACAAGTAACTCTCCGGAGAAGAAAACTTAGTCGAATTGATGATATTCGGGGTTAAATTTCGGTGCGACGTCGTAACAAGAGCCATCGGACTCTCACTCTTCACCTCAGACAAGACGCGAGATCTGGCCATTTTGTTCGGACGCGTAGACTCTTCATTCAACCGCCGGCCAAGATTAGGGTCACGATTCTGGATCTGAAGAACCTTCGACTGTGGAGAAGGATACGAAACAGGCGTAGGAGGAGAATTGTAATTTGGATACCTAATAGCTAAGGGTTTCGGAGATTTGCCGGCGATAGTAGCTGCAGCAGCGGCGGAATCAATGACCGCCCATAAATCAGCGTCTTCTAGGTCTTTATCATCAAAGGTATAGGAAGAAACCAGCGATCGTGACGATGACGACGCCATTGAAAGCGTTCACTGTTTCTTCGTGCAAAGCGGCAAAATAGCTAATTTCAATACATTCAAATTTATACGAAAACCCGCTAAATGACAAAGAGGCTTTAGGTAGAAAGGTCCGGTTAAACTCTCTTTCATTAACCTGATTTAACTGGTTATGACTTTTCAATTACGTATTAGTCATTCGGTTGGGCTGTCTCAATCATGTGTCCCACTGATGTAATTTAACATATTTTGAAACAGTGTAGTGTCTCTCCTTTGATTGTTCTTCTTCAATGGCGATTCCAAGGTTTAGCTCTCTGTTACGGTGTAGAAAATGGGCTAAGAGTGACTGGCTTGTCGCTTCTATCGGATTCGTATTGATTGTTTTTTTCCTCTCTTTCTTCATCGATCCCACTTCAGACTCTGTCCCCTCCGTTGACCGATCTCGGCCAATCATATTCCCTAGCGATCTGGTCAAACTGAAGTTGTCGAGTATAGCTAAAGAGAGAGGAGCTTGTAACTGTTACTAATCCTCTCATTTGTTGTCTTACTCTTTGAAAGTTTGGATTTTTAACTGAAATTGATTCAATTTCGCAGTTTGTTTGGATGGAAGCTTGCCTGGGTACCATTTTCATGAGGGTTCTGGATCTGGCTCCCAAAGCTGGCTTGTTCATTTGGAGGTATTCGTTTTTTTTTTTTTTTTTTTTTTTGTTGGTGAGAGAATTTATGTGAATCTGAGTGTAATGTATATAAGGGTGGAGGCTGGTGCAACACAGTTGCGTCATGTTCTGCTCGAGCATTGACTAAATTAGGTTCTTCCAACTACTTTGAACAAGAAGTGGCCTTTCAAGGTGTTTTAAGCAGTGACCCATCTCAAAATCCTGGTACCAGAAATCGGTTGTAGCTTCTACATTGTTGTCTTTTGTAGTTGACCTTCTTATAGACTTCTTGTGTATGAAGTAGTTTGTCTTTTTTTGTGTGTTAGAATTCTTTAACTGGAACAAGGTTGCGATAAGGTACTGTGATGGTGCTTCTTTTGCTGGACACCCTGAAGCTGAATTCAAGGTAATGAGGCTTTTGGTATTGAGGTTTTGAGTCAGATTCTGTTGAAAGCAATTAAAGTTCAATAATTTCATGTTTGTTTTACTCTCCCTTTCTCTCTTCTTAGAATGAAACCCGGCTTTTCTTCCGGGGTCAGCTCATTTGGGAAGCTATTATTGATGAACTGTTGTCGATGGGCATGTCAGATGCGAAACAGGTAACGTCTTCTTTATCTTATAAAAAATAATCTGTTACTGTGCTTCTGGTTACCATGAAAGTCTGTCTTGCACTCCAATATTCCATCTATGTTAGAAAGATCTTCCATATCTCTTCTGCGTTTTGTCGAATTCGCCTACTTAACTTAGGTAACTTGCTACAGATTAACTTTTGTTCTTCTTTTGTAAATTTGAGTAAATGTAGGCCATACTTACAGGATGTTCTGCTGGTGGCTTGGCAAGTCTTATACATTGTGACTACTTTCGAGATCATCTTCCAAAAGATGCAGCTGTCAAATGTGTTTCTGATGGAGGCTACTTTCTCAACGTGTATGTTTCTGCTCATACAACTTCCTTTTCTCATGAATTTTTTGACAGACTCATGAGTTCCAGTGCTCTTTTTTTAGTTCTTTAGGTCTAAACTAGTTTTAAGAAGCACGCTTGGTAAATTTTCTAGAAATTTTAGCTGACTATACTCCACAGAGCTAGGAAGTTACTGTTGATGTGAAACCAGCTCACACTGTCTCTCAGTCTCAGTAAAGCTGTTTTCCTTCATTTCAGGCCAGATGTCCTTGGAAACCCAACAATGAGGTCTTTCTATCATGATGTTGCTAATTTGCAGGTTCCATTCACTTTCTGTCAATAGATGAAATCTTACTTTGTGATACATTATCTTGATTTCTTCATCGAAATGAATAAGAACATGTCATGGGTTTTTGAATTGGTTCTGTGCTGGGTTTCTGCGGTTTTTACCAACCAGGGTGTAGATAAGAGCTTGGATCAGAAATGTGAAGCCAAAACAAAGCCATCTAAGGTAGGTTTTGTCTCTTACTTTGATTTTGTATTTTTCATCTATTGGGAAAATCTTTCTTGCCTGATTATGATTGGTATTGAGACTTCTTGATTTCGGTTTCCAGTGTATGTTTCCTCAAGAATTCCTGAAAAACATAAGAACTCCAGTATTTCTTGTGAACCCAGCCTACGATTTTTGGCAGGTTAGAGTTACCAATCCAAGAATGAGCAGCACTTATTGCATGCTTTCATTTGATTTGACTCCAATTCATGTTTACTACTTCGCTAATACTGAACACATATTCAGATTCAAAATGTCTTGGTACCAACTTCTGCGGATCCAGATAAAAGTTGGGCAAAGTGCAGACTCAATATTAAGGAATGTGATGCCGCACAGATGAAAGTTCTACACGGTAATTTACTCCTTAATAAAGCTAAATGATGAGCAAATTGATTCTGTAACTTGTTATCAAAAGTATCCTCTGTTTCAAAGTACAATCAGTAGATATGAGCAAGCTGTGAAGTAGCCATAGATCTGCCACGGAGCATAAGCTAATCTCTAGTATGGTTAGCTCTATTGATATATATCCTATTTAATTTACAGGTTTTCGCAGTTCTATGATGGATGCGATTGGGGAATTTCATCAGAGCAAAGATGGTGGCATGTTCATAGATTCCTGCTATGCTCATTGCCAGACAGTCATGTCAGTGACATGGCACTCCCCAACCTCACCAAGAATCGAAAATAAGGTAAAAGACATTTAACGTGTTGCTTGCTTTCACGAGCCTTTCTTCTTACAAATGACCTGACCCGGTTCGTGTCCCTTTTTACTGTTGTTGTTGTTGTTGGAACAGACGATCGCAGAATCTGTAGGTGACTGGTACTTCAACCGAAAACCGGTGAAGCTAATTGATTGTCCTTACCCATGCAATCCTTCTTGTTACAACATGAATTTCACCTGAAGTTGCCTTATACTCTCATTTTACCAATCCCTCTGCTTGTGGACTTTTTCGATTCTCCAGAAGCTTATTCATCCAGGGAGCAGTCGTTTCCTCAAAATCCTCAATCCAGGTGAGTCCTAAAAGGTTTGCACGTTCTTGAAGCTGAAGATAAACCAGAGAAAGTCACATATACACTATGTTACCTAGTGTAGTTGATCACATAGAGACTTTATTACAAAAGCAACATGCAGTAATTAACAATCTTCATGTTACTGTCGTCTCCAATTGTTGATTGATTATACTCATATTGCCCACTTGGGAGTCACATATGTATATGCTGATGATTGTAACGTATTTAGAGGATTTCTTAGTTTTTATGTGGAAAGAAGTTCCGAAGTTATGAAAGATTGAGAGCAGCAGATCTTGATGATTTTCACCAAACATAAAGAACTATTGCAAAAAAAAAAAAAAAAAAGTATGCGGAAAAAAAGTCTGGAAAAGTCAGAAGTCTACGGTCAACATAAGTCGTCCAATGAATTTCCCACTAAAATAACGATAAATTTTTGTCTTGAGCTGATTTAAAAAACAACCAACTACTCAACTACATCCCCAGTTGTATAAAACAACGTATAGTTGATCATCCGCTTTGTTTTCTAACGTATAGTTGATATCACTGAGAAACTTCGTTACAAAAGCAACACAAATTTCAACATTTTACTACTGCTAGCTTTCTTTGCCTCTCTGTTCTTCAATGGCGATTCGCTCTCTGCTACAATGCAGAAAATGGTCTAAAAGTGAATGGCTTGTCGCTGCAATCGGACTAGTCTTGATCGTGTTTTCCTTTTCTTTCTCCGTCGATTCAACTTCAGACTCCTCCGTTGATCGTAGCGACCTAGTTAAACTGAAGTTGTCGAGTAAAGCTAAAGAGAGAGGAGCTTGTACTGTATTACCTCCAAAGATTCATTCTTCGGAAAAAAGTTGCTTTACATTTTTAATATTTTCGGAGTAATTATATTGCTGTTTCGCAGTTTGCTTGGATGGAAGCTTGCCTGGTTATCACTTTCATAAGGGTTCAGGATCTGGCTCCAAAAGCTGGCTTCTTTTCCTAGAGGTATTCTTTCTTATTTAATGGTTGAATATGAATTTTCTTACTTGGAAATTAGAATCTATTTGAGTGAGATTTTATAAAAGGGTGGAGGCTGGTGTAATACTATAGAGTCATGTTCTTCTCGAGCAATGACTAGCTTAGGTTCTTCCAGCTTCTTTGAACATAAAGTGGCCTTTCAAGGTGTTTTAAGCAGTGACCCATCTCAAAATCCAGGTACGACAAGTCTCTAGTAGCTTCTCCATTGTTGCTTTGTATATGGTAGGTCTTTAATCTTTAGTTGTGTTTGTAGACTTCTTTAACTGGAATAGAGTTCTGATAAGGTACTGTGATGGTGCTTCTTTTGCTGGACACCCTGAAGCTGAATTCAAGGTAATTTGGGTTATAGATTCTCTTAGTTGTATTAGTTTCATGTTTTCTTACTCTCTCTTTCTCTCTTCTCAGAATGAGACGCGGCTTTTCTTTCGCGGCCAGCTCATTTGGGAGGCAATTATGGATGAACTGTTGTCGATGGGCATGTCACATGCGAAACATGTAACGTCCTCTTCATCTTATAAAGGGAAATGTGTTAGTAGTGACCATGAAAGTCTGTTTTGCAATTCCATCTATCTATCAATTAGAGATTCCTCATGTTTTCTGAATTTGTAGAATCCAAGTTTCTGTCTTGCAATTCCATTAATGTTTCTTTTTGTTTTACACATTTTTGATAAATTGCAGGCAATTCTCACAGGATGTTCTGCAGGTGGCTTGGCTACTCTTATACATTGTGACTACTTTCGTGATAATCTGCCAAGAGATGCAGCTGTTAAATGTGTTTCCGATGGAGGCTATTTTCTCAACGTGTATGTAAACTGCCTGTTATCACAAGTCACAAAGTTTTCACGAGATTTATGCCTGTGCTGCTCACAAGTTTCAGTGCTCTTTCCATTAGTTCTTTAATGATGCTGATGATGCTCTCACAGAGCTAAGGAAGTTATTGAAATCAGAAAACAGTGACTCTCAACAAAAGCTATTTTCCTTCATTTCAGGCCTGATGTGCTTGGAAACCCAACAATGGGATCTTTCTTTCATGATGTTGTTACCCTGCAGGTTTGTTTTCACTTTCTGTCAATATTATCTTGAATTCTTCACTGAAATAGACAAGAACATGTCATGGTTATGTTTTGCTTGGTTTTGGGTTGGGTTGCTGCGGTTGATACCAAACAGGACGTAGATAAGAGCTTGGATCAGAATTGTGTAGCCAAAATGGAACCATCTAAGGTAGGTTTTGTCTCTTCCTTTGAAAAGTCTTTCTTGCCTGATTATGATTGGTATTGAGACTTCTTGATCTCGGTTTGCAGTGTATGTTTCCTCGAGAATTCATTAAAAACATAAGAACCCCGGTATTTCTTGTCAACGCAGCCTACGATTATTGGCAGGTTACCATGAGAATTTTTCCCTGTGTCCATTTTGGTTTTACTGCAATTTATGATTTCTGTTGTACTAAAACTAAGTACATATTCAGATTCAAAATGTCCTGGTACCAGATTCTGCAGATATAGATGAATATTGGGCAATGTGTAGACTCAATATTCAGGAATGTGATGCCGCCCAAATGAAAGTTCTACATGGTAATTTATCTACTCATTACTAAACCTTAATGATGTCGCACCACAATAAGCAAATTGATTCTATAAATAAAACCGGTTTATCAAAATTCTCATCTGTTTCAAAGTACAATCCGTAGATAAGGTCTCTGTTTGTTGGTCCCTTTGTGATTATCTAGAAACCTTTTCGGCTTTATTAAGATCCTCGGTTTTCTTTGGAGCATAAGTTAGATCTTTGGTCTTCCTTGGAGCAAAAGTTATGTTTTGTCAGCTCTATCTTTTATGATTTACAGGTTTTCGCAGTTCTCTAATGGATGCGATCGGAGAATTTCATGAGAACAAAGAGGGTGGGATGTTTATAAATTCGTGCAATTCTCATTGCCAGATAAGAGAGTCATCATGGCACTCCCCAACCTCACCAAGAATCGAAAATAAGGTTTTTTGTTTTTAAATTAACGCAATCTGTTGCTTTCTTTTCCCGAGCATCTCTTCTAGCAAATGAACTGAACCAGTTCATGTCTCTTCTTTTTGTTGTTTTTGGAACAGACGATTGCAGAGTCTGTAGGTGATTGGTACTTCAACCGAAAACCAGTGAAGCTGATCGATTGTCCTTACCCGTGCAATACCTCTTGTTGAACATGGATTTCCCCTGCAGAAACTTGCCATGTTAATAATGAGAACATAAATATGAACCTGCTGCAATAGTAACTGTACCGATTCAAACGTAAGCGGATTGATACAATTGACTACCGGGTCAAAAAGGGTTATAATTGTAAGCATGTCATAAACACCATTTTTTAACCAAACCAAAGATGCACTATTGCTAAAAAAAAGTATGTGGAATATTCAAAAGTTACAAGTCTGCGGTCAACATATGTAGTCCATTGAATTTCTCACTAGAGCTGATTCAAAAAACAACCAACTACATCTAGAGTTGTATCTTTTTCAAACAGATGCGGAGGCTGATACTAATTTCTAAAAGATACAACTAGATTTTTCTAACGTACATTTGATCACTGAGAAACTTCCTTACAAAATCAACACAAGTTTCAACATTTTACTTACTACTGTTCTATAATGGCGATTCACTCTCTGCTACAATGCAGAACATGGTCTAAGAGTGACTGGCTTATCGCTTCAATCGGAATAGTCTTGATGTGTTTTCCTTTTCTTTCTCTTTCGATTCGACTTCAGACTCTATCCCCTCCATTGATCGTAGCGATCTAGTTAAACTGAAGTTGTCGAGTAAAGCTAAAGACAGAGGAGCTTGTACTGTTTTATCTCCGATAGTTTCATTCTTTTGTTTGAATTTTTAAAATTTCGGAGTATTTATATACTATTTTTTCGCAGTTTGCTTGGATGGAAGCTTGCCTGGTTATCACTTTCATAAGGGTTCAGGATCTGGCTCCAAAAGCTGGCTTCTTTATTTAGAGGTATATATTCTTTCTTATTTGTTGACTGAATTTGAATTATTTTTACTTGGGAGTTAGAATATATTTGAGTGAGATTTTGTAAAAGGGTGGAGGCGGGTGCCGTACAATTGAGTCATGTTCTTCTAGAGCAATGACTAGGTTAGGTTCTTCCAACTTCTTTGAACATGAAGTTCCCTTTCAAGGCGTTTTAAGCAGTGACCCATCTCAAAATCCTGGTACGTACGAGAAATCTCTAGTAGCTTCTCCATTGTATGTGGTAGTTTCTTTGAATCTATATACTTGTCTTTGTTGTTTGTTTGTAGACTTCTTTAACTGGAACAGAATTATGATTCGGTACTGTGATGGTGCTTGTTTTTCTGGACACCCTGAAGCTGAATTCAAGGTAATAAACGCTTTTGGTAGGATGAGAGCAATTAAAGCTGATTAGTTTTCATGATTCTTTGACTCTCTTTCTTTCTTCTCAGAATGAAACGGCTTTTCTTCCGCGGGCAGCTCATTTGGGAGACAATTATGGATGAATTGTTGTCGATGGGCATGTCACATGCGAAACATGTAACGTCCTCTTTATTTTATATATAAATCTGAATTTGTAGAACTTAAGTCTCTGTTTTGTAATTCCAATAAGTGTTTCCTTTTGTTTTACACATTTGATAAATTGCAGGCAATTCTCACAGGATGTTCTGCTGGTGGCTTGGCTACTCTTATACATTGTGACTACTTTCGAGACCATCTGCCTAACGATGCAACTGTTAAATGTGTTTCCGATGGAGGCTATATTCTCAACTTGTATGTAAACTTCCTTTTATCACAAGTCATGACTTTTACACAACATTTATGTCTGTGTTTGGTCACGAGTTTCAGTGCTCTGATGATGCTCCCACAGAGCTAAGGAAGTTACTGTCAATGTGAAATCAGCTAACAATGACTATTTTCCTTCATTTCAGGCCTGATGTGCTTGGAAACCCAACAATGGGATCTTTCTTTCATGATGTTGTTACCCTGCAGGTTTGTATTCAATTTCTGTCAATATTATCTTGATTTCTTCATTGAAATAAGCAAGAACATGTCATGTTTTTGGGTTGGGTTACTGCGGTTGACACCACCAGCGCGTAGATAGGAGCTTGGATCAGAATTGTGTAGCCAAAATGGAACCATCTAAGGTAGGTCTTGTCTATTCCTTTGAAAAATCTTCCTTGCCTAACTTCTTGATTGGTTCTGAGACTTCTTAATTTCGGTTTCCAGTGTCTGTTTCCTCAAGAATCGCTTAAAAACATAAGAACTCCGGTATTTCTTGTCAACACAGCCTACGATTATTGGCAAGTTAGAGTTACCAATCCTAGCATGACAACCATTTCCCTGTGTCCATTTTGGTTTCATGATTACTGTTTTACTAAAACTAAGCACATATTCAGATTCAAAATGGACTGGTACCAGATTCTCCGAATCTAGATGAAAGATGGGCGATTTGTAGACTCAATATTCAGGAATGTGATGCCGCACAAATGAAAGTTCTACATGGTAAACCTTAATGATGTCGCTCCCGGATGAGAAAATTGATTCTATATGTATCAAAATTCTCATCTATAACTCTTTTCGGCTTTACTAAGATCTTCGGTATATATATCTTTTATGATTTTGCAGGTTTTCGCAGTTCTCTGATCGATGCGATCGGAGAATTTCATGAGAACAAAGAGGGTGGGATGTTTATAAATTCGTGCAATTCTCATTGCCAGATAAGAGAGTCATGGCACTCCCCAACCTCAACAAGAATCGAAAATAAGGTTAAAACAAAAAAAGACAATTGACGCATTCTTTTCTCGAGCCTCTCCTCTAGCAAATGAACTGACCCAGTTCATGTCTCTTATTTTTGTTGTTGTTGGAACAGACGATCGCAGAGTCTGTAGGTGATTGGTACTTCAACCGAAAACCGGTGAAGCTAATCGATTGTCCATACCCGTGCAATACCTCTTGTTGAACATGCAGCATGTTTTTCTTTTATTTATAACCAAAACGTGAATTATATAAGTATGGATGTGAGGAACCATATGAATGAGGTACCGTATCTCCAAAAGTCTAAACAAGAATGGAGAGTGAATGAGCATGTTTGGGGTGGTAACTCTTCTTCATTTTTCTTTTACAAATAGTTAAAAGTTTTCACAATAAGCAAAAGTCAGAGGTGGAATTAATTGCAAAACTCTTTGCTTCCACGTTCTATCCAATCCCGTATTCGTTGACAAATTATCATTAAGGATCCGCAAATATAATTACGTGCTTAATCATAATATATATATATGGTTATTGCCTTGTAAACTAATTAAAAAAACTGAATGTTCGAATACTCTGTCCTGATCATGGCATTTCATCGAGTTTTTCTCATCAACTAGTAGCAGTATTAGTAATTTAATATCATTTTGTGAAAAAACAGAAACATGGTATGTTGAATTTTTCAAAAGAAGAAAAGAAAATTTATTGCAGAGTTCATGCAAATGCATATTGCAACGTAAGCAGCCAGCTGCTCTTTCAAGAATATCTGGTATCTTTTTTTTAATAATAATTTCCTATCTGAAAAAATCTAAATACTCTCTCCGTTTTAGGGTTGGCTGATTTTTCAGCCCTTAACTATTCGCAAACTCAAGGAATCTCCCTATACTTTTTCGTTCTGAAAAAACCACCAACAACTAACAATTTTCTCAATTAAACATCACATACTTTCGGATTTATCTTGATAAATACACCTCCAATCGAACCGGCCATTAAACCGGGTTTAACCACAAATCCGCGTTTACTCTACCTCGATTAGGATTACCCGTTTGATTACCCATGACCCGAGAGTTAAAACGACGTCGTTTTGACTCTTCTCTTTATTTCTCAAAACAAAGCCAGGGAGCATTGCCGGAGCTGTAACTGCTCGAAGAAGAGAACTTGTACGACGGCTCGTAGCGGAAGCCGCTCGTTTTGCGCGGCGTGTGTGCACGCTTCCAACGTCAGTTTCTGACAATCCATCACGCCGCAGATCTTCTCCCTCTCTGCTTCCGATACCCATGGATGCGCCTATTGAAGAAAACGAAATTATCAGATCCATTTTTTCTCGGATCTTCTTCACATTGAATGTTATTGATTTACCTTGAGATATACGTCGACGGCTCTATAGAGTCCGTCATCGTAGAGACGAGCTTGATCTGGGAGTGAGATGGCTAGATTGTAGAATTTATCCGATTTGAGATTAGCGTCGGATGCGATCTCAGCGAGAAATCCGTCGATTAATTTCCCGACGAGCATAAGCGACGGAGATTTTCCGTCAGCTTCGACTACGGCGGTGTTTGATTGTTCCAAGGTGTCGAGAAAGTGAGCTAAGATTCTCTCTACCAAATCAACATCGTATAAAGTCTCGTTAAGGTATGAGTAGCTAGGGACGAGCAAATCGTCGAGCGTGGCTCTCTCTAGCTGTGTTCTGATCTTTCTCTCCAACAGATCACGACAAAACTCGGAGGCGTTGAGGATGATGGCGGTTCGTAACAAGCCGAAGAGGAATCTCGTTGTTGAGGAGATGGAGCTTTTATCTAATGGAAGATTAGAGGTTATAGTCTCCAGTAGTTCTCTCTGTTCATTCTCTGAAACTGCAGTAGAAGATGACGATGGCGGTTTCCGGTTAGAGCGTAGAATTCTCAAAACAAAGCCAGGGAGCATTTATTTCTCAAAATAAAGAGAAGAGTCAAAACGACTCGGGTCATGGGTAATCAAACGGATAATCCTAATCGCGGTAGAGTAAACGCGAATTGTGGTTAAACCCGGTTTAATGGCCGTTCGATTGGAGGCGTATTTATCCAGATGAATCCGAAAGTATGTGATGTTTAATTGAGAAAATTGTTAGTTGTTGGTGATTTTTTAAGAGCGAAAAAAGTATAGGGAGATTCCTTGAGTTTGCGAATAGTTAAGGGCTGAAAAATCAGCCAACCCTCCGTTTTATAATATAAGTCGTTTTAATAAAAACACACTGATTAAAAAAATCTACTTTTTAAAAGTTCAACTAATCATAAAATAAACTGCATAATATTAATAATCATAAAATATTAAAATAATATATAATTTGCATTAAAACTCGAAAACGAGAGGGGATAGTTTTGTTTTTTTTATTCACACTTTTTAATTTTGAATAGCTTAATTTGCAAAGTAATTAGCACACATATTTGCCTTCTCTAGAGAGAAGCTAAAGCAAGTTTCATGCATTTAGTTTCTTCCTTGTGACTGGTCTAACCACATCACTAGTCATGGAATTAACATGTAAATCATTTGACTTTTTGCATTCCATTAGTTTAATAATTTCATACCTTTGTGCTATTTATAAAATCAAACCACATGTACCCTTCTTTAAAAGTCAACTCCCTCGTATCATAAAAATACAAATGTATCTAAATGAACAATGAGTTAATTCCATAATCGCAAAAACTGGACTTTGGTTTATAGTGAAAAAATGAGTTAATTCCATAATCGCAAAATCATAATCTTATTTAAGATATATTCACATCTTATTGCAAAGAGGGTAAATCTTTTTTTATTTTTTTCTCATAGAAAACAATGTTGAAATATATATGGATTAATGGTAGAGGAACTCGTGGACATAGAGTCTCTTATATTATTAAACTTGTCAAATCTTCATGAATTTTTTTACCAATTCAAATAAAAATCGGAATAAAGATAATTCCAAGAGAATAAACCTCATTAAAAGTCAACTCTTTTCATTCTCTTCACCATTTGGCTCGAACTCCAACATAAATACTCCAACATAAATAGCCAAAAAGCTGCTATTCATAAGTGTCTCGACAAACACAAAAACGACGCCGTGTCGCCTCCATTATGCGACACGATACGACACAGTTTCTCCTTCACTGAACGGTGCCGTTTAATACTTGCGTAATCCCACATTCTCAAATGGGAAACAGAGTCGCGAGTTTTAGTGGCTGTTGCGCCGGAACCACCGCCGGAAAAATTTCCAGTCGATACGATGTTGGAGTCGGACTGATTCAAGAAAACCTCGGCCACTCTTTCTGCTACGTTCGTCCAGTTCTCACCGGATCAAAATCTTCTTTCCCGCCGGAACCGCCCCTCCAACCGGACCCGATACCCGGAACCACCACCACTTTTCGTTCAATCTCCGGCGCCTCCGTTAGCGCCAATACTTCAACGGCGCTTTCAGCTTCTTCGTCAACAGACGCGTCTGGATTAGCCTCTGCGTTCGAGAGCTCCAATAGATTCGCCTCCTTGCCACTCCAGCCTGTGCCACGCGGTCCGATAAAAAAACCGGTTCACGTGTCGGGTCAATTCGAACGCCGGTTCTTATCCGGTCCGATCGAAAGCGGGTTGGTTTCAGGGAAGAAGAAGAAGGAGAAAGCAAAACTGAAGAAAAGTGGAAGCAAATCATTTACGATACCAAAACCTAACAATAAATTTCTTACATTCAAAAACGTTTTCACGAATCTGGTATCTAACAACTTATCTTGTTCGAAGAAGAGCGTGATCGAACCGATCAACTATTCCGATTCATTTGACGAATCATCAGATTCCGATCAAGGTAGACCTGAGAACAATTACTCAGGCACGATTCTAAGCAGCCACGAGAACCCTAAAACCGAAGAAGAAAAAACTGAGTCTGCTTTAGATGAGCCAAAGATTCAATGGGCGCAGGGGAAAGCAGGGGAAGATCGAGTACACGTCATCCTCTCGGAAGAAAACGGTTGGCTTTTCGTTGGAATCTACGACGGATTCAACGGTCCTGATCCACCAGATTATCTTCTCAACAATCTCTACACCGCTGTGCTCGGAGAGCTCAAAGAGTTGCAATGGAACGACAAGTATGAATCCGAATATCTACAAAAGAGTTCGGTCGAGCATGCATCCGATTCGGATCAAGAAAACTGCCATGCGATGAATGGAAACATTGTTGCTTGTGGATCAAGAAACATAACGAGTGACGTGAAGAAGTTGCAATGGAGGTGCGAGTGGGAGCATAACTCAAGCAACAAGTCTAATAATATTAAAAGTAATCACAAGGAATGTGATTCGGGTATGATTAACCACAAAGACGTTCTTAGAGCTCTTCAACAAGCGTTGAAGAAAACAGAGGAATCGTTTGATCTGATGGTTAGTGAGAATCCAGAATTAGCCTTGATGGGATCTTGCGTTCTTGTGACATTGATGAAAGGAGAAGATGTTTACGTGATGAGCGTTGGAGATAGCCGAGCGGTTTTAGCTAGAAGACCGGATCTTGGGATGAAGAAAATGCAAAAGGACCTTGAGAGAATCAAAGAAGAGAGTCCATTAGAGACATTGTTCGTCACAGAAAGAGGATTGAGTCTTTTGGTTCCTATTCAGCTCAATAAGGAACATAGCACAAGTGTTGATGAGGTATAAATCTTTTGCGACGACTCCTGATTGAAATTCTTTTGTTTGATCAATAAGAACAAGAAACTGATTTGATGTTTTTTTTACGTGACAGGAAGTGACAAGAATCAAGAAGGAACATCCTGATGATGCATTGGCAATAGAGAATGATAGAGTAAAAGGTTATCTCAAGGTCACTCGTGCATTTGGCGCTGGATTTCTTAAACAGGTATATACACGATGATTCACATATTTTTTGGTTTTTGGTTTGGATTATTTCATTATTTGTCTACATTAATGTTTTTTAAGATATCAAAATGTAGGAACAGAAATACAATTAAAAACTTTGTTTGGTTTCCGATCCTTGTTTTTATTCGGTTTGATGAATATAGTTATGTAAAATGTGTTTCCTCAGCCAAAATGGAACGAGGCGCTTCTCGAGATGTTTAGAATAGACTACGTCGGAACATCACCGTACATCACGTGCTCTCCGTCGCTACACCACCACAGACTCACATCACGTGACAAATTTCTCATCCTCTCCTCCGACGGATTATACGAATACTTCTCGAACGAGGAAGCCATCTTCGAGGTCGACTCATTCATATCAGCCTTCCCTGAAGGCGATCCTGCTCAACATCTCATTCAAGAAGTCCTCCTTAGAGCCGCCAAGAAATATGGTAATATCTAAGAACAAAACGCAAAGGCAAATGCAATCAAGATTCAAAACGGAGTCTTTGATTAATTGATTATATAAACTCACGTGCAAGTTTCTTTTTTAGGCATGGACTTTCATGAATTGCTAGAGATACCACAAGGAGATCGCCGGAGGTATCATGATGATGTTTCTGTGATTGTGATTTCACTTGAAGGAAGAATTTGGAGATCTTCCATGTGAATATTAATCTTTTGAATAGACTCTTACTAAAGTAACTTTAAAATAATTTTTCTTTTTTTTTTGGATTCCATCGAGTTTTTATCATTATTTGTTGTTACTCGGTATATTTTTAACTATGTTGCATTTGTTTACCAATATAGCCATATAGGTTAGTGAAAACTATATATAACGCAAGAAATTCAGAATATATTCTAAACGCAGATTAATGATCACGTTATGTTACTCGTACATGAAATTTTTGGCCTTTTTCTCCGATGTACTTTGGCCTCTAAATCTCTAATAAAGTCATAATTTTCTATTCAACTATAGTTAAACACTTAAACTTATAAATCGTAATTGTAGCCGTAGTGATTCATCGATATAAACCGTGTTTAAGCTCGTACTATCACTTTCATCCAAGCTAAGTCTCTAAACATTCATTTGTCAGAAAAGATTTTATAAATTGCATAGATTTATAAGTTACTTTCTCCATGAACTCGGATAAGATTCGGGAACTGAATTTTGCTACGTTCTCTCCTGACCACACATTAATACATTTATGAATTATCTCCCTTTCAAGTTTTTCTCCTTCCTTTGACAGAAAAAAAAAACGAGTTTTTCTCCTTCTCTTTTTCAACACATTTTCTCCTTTTATTTAGAAACGACAAAAAAGAAGTCTAATAAGTAATAATAGGGATCAAGAACTTTAAAAATTCTTTATTTTAGATATTTTTAGATATTTCCCTGTTAATAATATCTAGCGTAGAAAAATCGAAAAATACGATTATTAAAAAACAGGAATATCGAAGGAAAAAAAAAAACAGGAATATCGAGATCTCTGTGGACAACTGAGGTTAATAGATCGCAGCCGTAGAATAAAGATCTGCATAAAAGGCGGTGAGAATCTAAACGGTGATAAGACCGTAACACACGGAACTTCGGTACTCTCTCGAACGCACCAGAATCGACACACACTCCACAATTATTTGAACCAGACAATTATTGAACCGACGTACGAGAATCAATGCGCTAAGGGTAAATATGTAAATAAAGAACTAGTTCTGGAGATAAGAGCGGAGAGAGATCTCGACACGTGTATGGTCATTATTAATCTCATTTAGCTTATAAATTTGAGAGCTTCCTCTATCGTTAATTTTCATTCTGCGATCATTTCGAGTTTCTAAATTTTGATCAATTTAGTAAAATTCCCTCTGAGATTTATTCGTTCTTTCTTTGAATTTTCTCGAGAAAAATGTCTTGCTGTGGAGGAAACTGCGGTTGTGGATCTGGCTGCAAGTGCGGCAACGGATGTGGAGGGTAAGTCTCCAACCTCTCCTTTTAAATCGTTACATGCAACAACTTTGAATCGATCTTGTTTTGATGATTGGTTTCTTGGAGATGTTTATGAAATTTTGAGAGATTTTTCTAGGATAAAAAATAATAACAACTCTTTTGAATTACACGTTCTCTGTTTTTAACGGATATTGATGGGTTTTGTTACGATTGTTACAGTTGCAAAATGTACCCTGACTTGGGATTCTCCGGCGAGACAACCACAGCTGAGACTTTTGTCTTGGGCGTTGCACCGGCGATGAAGAATCAGTACGAGGCTTCAGGCGAGAGTAACAACGCTGAGAACGATGCTTGCAAGTGTGGATCTGACTGCAAGTGTGACCCTTGCACCTGTAAATGAAGACCCTTTTTAATTTATAAGAAGCAGAGATAATCAAGTCTTTATTTAATTAAGTTATTTAATAAGTAACCTTAATGGTGTTTTAGGTTTGGTTTATGTGTAATAATGGCTGCAGCCTGCAGCTTATCTTTTAGCCGACAATACTCTTTTGTGTGTGTTTTGATCAATATCTTTTAGATGTCTCTGCCATGTGATGAGTTTGTACTTGCAGTTGAATGATAAAAATATGATACTAGTTTTTAATTCTCTCTGTTTTATGATCCATAAAAATATGATAGTTCTTCATTAGTCCTGCATTTTTTCAAAATTTTGGAGAATTATTACCAAACAAAGTGATATTCCTTACATTGGCGAATGATTCAATAAAGTTTTCATGATCATGACTCAGATCCATCAAACGGTAGTAGCAAGAACATGCGCAAAATGATATGGCTCATTGGTTCTAAACACAATGTCAAACCACTTTACCATTCCCCAAATCTCCCTCTTCTCGCGTTTTTCAATCGCAATTTCCGCACACCAAATTTTCGTCTCTTCATCCTTCTTACCGTACGCATACTCTACCCACACAACAGCCATTTTCCCACCATAATTCACCAAGTTTACATGAGAAATAAGCAATTTTTCCAAACCTTTCAAAGTTGTCCACAATCTTTTGTCGGAGTCACACCATTCGATCCTTCTATTATTATAGCGGTAGAACACGTTCTCTATCACACAATAATGAGATGATGAAGTACCCCATCCTTTATTTATCGCTAAGTCTGCCGTTCGCCATCTACCTTTAGCCAGCTTGTAAGTCGCATCCTTTGCCTCATACTTCACATAGACAGATCCTTCATACTCTACGCTTTTGTACTTCAAGTCCAAATATCTCCTCGCTAGGGATCTGCAAGAACTCCCAAGTTTGGGTCTGCGTGGCCGGCTCAAAAAATTGAAGGACCCTGAGTTGGAAAAAATAATTGGCCCATATTTCCTATGTTTTTTTTTTATAAAAAGAAATTTTAGACCCTAATTTTAGTAAATTTAGTTATAATAAAAGAGACAAAATTACAAGGACCCTGTGCATGAACACCTCTAGCACATGCATAGAGTCGGGCCTGTGCGTATCAAAAACCTCCATCCAATTCGTTGAATCAAGATTTTTGCAACCTCCTGTTACATATATTTTCCCATCATGGATGCAAACAGAGTGGGACTCACGGGCCATAAGCATACTTGGTGCCTCACGCCATGTGTGAGAATGACAATCCATGACCATGACGCTAGACGAAGCATTCTTATTTACTAATCCTCCAATAGCATGGATATTAGAACCAACTATAGCAGCCTCCGACCACAATGCAGATGGAAAATTAGGAGATGAAATCGGAACCAATTTTTTTTTGGAGTTAAATGGTCCCTGAGAGACCGTGAACCAACGTAGTTGGCTAGTTTCGGTAAATAGCCGTAAACACACATAAAGACAACTCTCGGTGCGGCCTAGGTGCGGCCTAGGTGCGTTCAGGTTTGATAAAGTTTAGTTGAAGCAAGGAGAGAGCGGAATCTCTTGGAGACTAAAGAGAGAGTTGGGTAACACAATCTTGAGATGCGGGCTAAGCAGTTGAATAGCAAATCATCAGGTAGCATCAGAATTGTCATCCGTCTTCTTTTAAAAGGTCTCTCTTCTCCATTCATGGCTATGGAAGTGCACAAGGTCTCTCTTCTCCATTCATGGCTATGGAAGTGCACACTTGCGGTAGTTGTGGATGGCCTTTTCTTGCGCTTGTTCCTTCCGTTAACTTCTTCTTTTATGTATCCAGAACTCTCGATGATCAATCTCACCTAATTAAAGTGTTTTTTTTTTGTTTTCTTTTGCCAACACCACCTAAAGTGTTTATATAGGGAATTATTATTCCTTATCTATCATGTATTCATTAGTTAACTTTTCGAATAGGAAAACCTAGTTTATGTAAAAGAAATTTTCCTTTCTGAAAAAGAAAAAAAAAAAGAAAAGTTAAAACGAAAATTGGATGTGGAAGCCCCCTTGGCCCATTGGTTGACTAAGGGTTGATTAATGCTTCTATACAAAGAGGTCTGGGGTTCGAGTCCCAGATATTGCGATTTATTAACAAATTTGCAGATTAATGGAGGCAAGTGTGCAGGAGATCTCCAGCGATGTACAATTATAGCTGTTCGCCAGGATTCTACGCAGAGAAGGAAGTGTCGCCAGGTCGTGGATCATTGAAGGTATTCATCAAGATCATGAAGAAGGAAGTGTAGTCTGTCGTGGATCTAGTAAGGGTCGGAAGGAATTGTCAGTTGTAGAATCGTCTATGTAACAGTTCTCATAATTTGCAATTAATAATAAATCTAGACGACAAAAAAAAAAAAAAACGAAAATTGGATACGAGAATGACATGAAAGAGAGTACGACGTCGTCTTTATATGATTTTGTATTTTGTATAATTAACTTTATGACTCATGGTAAAAAAAAAAAAAAAAACTTTATGACTCAGATTGTATCTAGCAAAATATTCGTGTCCGATTAGGTCAAATCGCTTGTTGTTGGATTTATTAGGTTTATTGAGGGTTCCCACGTCTCATTCGATAACTTATTGATCGTTAGGGTTTATGCGTTCAGGAGAGAAAAAAATGGATTCTGTATTAATCAATGAGAACCCAATTATTTATCCGAAGAGACCAAGGCGTGTTCGTACTGATCAGAGCAATACCGATGAGTTTTCAGTAGACCCAATAGATCAGCTCGAGATTTTTGATATCCTTGACTTTTTTTAATTCCTAACTAAAACAATTGAAATTCTCATAGTTATGTGTATATTGATATTGGATCATCTCTCTCTTTTTTTTTTCTTTTTTTTTCGTTAACAATCTACAAATCGTATAAGAGATATCAGAGATCCAGAGCATCCTAAGCTTTCTTTAGAAGACCTCAATATTCTTACAGAAGAATCAGTTGAAGTTGATGATGACAAGAGTTACGTTAGGTAAAAGAAACAAAACAAATCTTGTGATTTTTACTTTATTCCAGTTTATTAATTGTGCTATCGTTTTACAGAATTACATTCACTCCAACTCTTCCGCACTGTCACTTGCCAACCCCTATTGGTCTTTGCCTCTTAGCAAAACTTGCACAAAGCCTACCTGCTAGATTCAAGGTACATAACAATTGTTATGTTGTGTTCAATTTTTGTTTATTAAGAGTCTTCATAATTAATCTTTAAGCTAATTTTTGTTGTAATGAAATCTCAGGTTGATGTGAGAGTAGCACCAGGGAGTCATGATAAAGAGAAGACAGGTATAAAACTTTCAATTTTTTTTTTAAGTAAATGTTTTGAGTTTGATCCTCAAATTGATGTTATAATGCAGTCAATAAACAACTTGGGGATAAAGAACGTGTGGCTGCAGGATTAGAGAATCCTGACTTGGTGGCTCTGCTTAATAAAATGATGCAAGTTTGATCCAATCTAAAATGATTTATCTGTCTTCAGTTTCTAGTTTCAATCTCTTCTATGACATTAACTCAAAACAAGAGCCTTGTAATATTTACTCTGTTTTTCACTTTATTCTCAAATATTTAGTCACAACTTTCTTTTTTTTTTTTAAATTTTTATTTAGTCACAACTTGTCGTTGCTAACTGATTAAAGTATAGTATGAAAAGTCGAATGTTGATGTTGAATTCAACAGGCCATAACATCAACTTCTCTATCTGAACAGTGGGATTTATTGATTTACATTTGCAAAAACGGGCTAAAGAATGTCCGCAAGACCGCAACTAACATAGCAATATTACATCCGCAAGCCCGCAACTAACATAAGTATGTCATGCAATCCTTGTCTACTTGAAACTTGTACAGTAGTTTCCTTAGCTTCATTATAAAGAAGCTATAAACTGCATATGTAGAGGTTCTTCAAACTCTTGAGTACAGAAGCAATGTAACTATTATAACCTGGATATTTTTAGCATTTGTCATTTGGAAGCAACATTGTTCATGTTGATATGGGCCGGACTCTTTGGCCCATAAAACTTCAAGAAGGAATTTTATTGCTAAAGTCGGTATTTTTTACCCTCGCCGCCGGTAAAGCGTGACTCAAAAGTCACTGTTATTGTTTTATTGTTTCCTTTTCGTAATTTTCCTTTTTTTTTTTGTTGTTGATAATATTGTTAAAGTCGGTTTTGGGGTTTTTCCTTATTAGAAACATATTTTTAATAGGAAAAGGGTGTTGAATTTTTGCTATATAAACGTGACCTTGGTGTTGTTTGAGCTCACAACTTTCTTTAATTGAATACAAAATCAAAGAGCTTTTCAACTTTTAAACAGAGATCGATTAGGGTATAGATTATGGCTGCGAATCCTGGCCGTGGAGACCGTGGGAGAGGTGGTAGGGGAGTGGATGACAGACAAGTTGGTCTTCAAGACGACCAAAGGGGTCGAGCCCATCGCGAATTTCGAAGATATGGGTATCAAAGAGAATGTTCTTCGTGGTTTATACGAGTACGGTTACGAGAAGCCCTCCGCCATTCAGCAGAGGGCGATCATGCCGATTCTCCAAGGGAGAGATGTCATTGCTCAAGCTCAGTCCGGTACGGGAAAGACCTCTATGATTGCTCTCTCTGTCTGCCAAGTCGTTGACACTTCGTCTAGAGAGTACGTTTTCTCGACCTAATTCCAATTTTAACTTTTCTGCCAAGTTATCTCTAAATTTATTCTCATATTTTTTTTTTTTGGTATATCTGATTGCAGGGTTCAGGCCTTGATATTATCCCCAACAAGAGAGCTGGCTTCACAAACAGAGATGACGATACAAGCTATTGGATCACACGGCAATGTCCAGGCACATGCATGCATTGGTGGGAAGAGCGTTGGAGAAGACATCAGGAAGCTGGAGCATGGTGTCCATGTTGTGTCCGGAACACCTGGTCGTGTCTGTGACATGATAAAGAGGAGAAGTCTACGCACCAGAGCTATTAAACTTCTGATTCTTGATGAATCAGATGAAATGCTAAGCAGAGGATTCAAGGACCAAATCTATGATGTTTACAGATATCTTCCACCCGATATTCAGGTTTGCTTGGTTTCTGCAACTCTACCTCACGAGATTTTGGAGATGACAACCAAGTTTATGACGGATCCGGTGAAGATACTTGTGAAGCGTGATGAGTTGGCTCTTGAGGGAATAAAAAACTTTTTTATTTCTGTTGAGAAAGAGGAGTGGAAGTTTGAGACACTATGTGATCTTTATGACACACTTACCATCACTCAAGCTGTTATCTTCTGCAACACAAAACGAAAAGTGGACTTTCTTAGTGAGAAAATGAGGAGCAGCAACTTCACTGTCTCATCAATGCATGGGGACATGCCTCAGAAGGAGAGAGACGAGATCATGAATCAGTTTCGGACAGGTGAGAGTCGCGTTTTGATCACAACAGATGTATTTGCACGCGGGATTGATGTTCATCAAGTTTCTCTTGTCATCAATTATGATCTCCCAACAACCGTGAGCTCTACATCCATCGTATTGGACGGTCTGGTCGTTTCGGACGTAAGGGTGTTGCAATCAACTTTGTTAAAAACGACGATATCAAGATTCTCCGGGACATTGAGCAGTACTACAGTACTCAGATTGACGAGATGCCAATGAATGTAGCTGATCTTATCTAAAACACTTCTGTCTTCTCTGAATGTAATTTAGAAAAAATAAAATAAAACCAAAGTGATATTCCTTACATCGGTGAATGAATGGTTCAATGTTCACATAAGCAAGATTCATATCCATCAAATAGTAGTAGCAAGAACATGCACTAGTTTATATAGGCCACTGGTTGTAGACGCAATGTCCAACCACCCTAGTATCCCACAAATATCTCCTTCTTGGCTTTTCTCAATCGCAATTTCCGCACACCGAATTATCGTCTCTTGATGGTTGTTAACAAACACATACTCTTCCCACAAAAGTACCATTTTTCCACCATAATCGCCAATTTAAGACGATTAGAACGTGATAAAGTGCTAGGTAATCTTTCCAAACCCTTCAAAGTTGTCCATGATCTTTCTTTGGAGTCATACCAATCGATCCTCCTTTTATTATAACGGTAGAAAACATTCTCTATCACAAAATGATATAGATAAGGAAGATTCAATCCATGATTCATTATCGCCAAGTCTGCCTTTCGCCATCTACCTTTATGCAGCTTGTAAGTCACATTCTTCGCCTCAAACCTCACATAGACAGTTCTCTCATACTCTACGATTTTGTACTCTGAGCCTCCATATATCTCCTCGCTAGGGATCTGCAAAAACTCCCAAGTTTCGGTCTTTGTATCAAAAACCTCAATACAATTCGTTGGGGTTTAACACTTATGAGGTGTTATTATGGAAAAACCAAACCGAACTCAATATGAGGTGTAAATTATTCTTTGGATTAAATACATCTAACATCTCTAGCTTTAACCCAAAAATAAAAAAAGAATATAAAAACCAATGAAACAACATTCAGCGTGTAAAGACAAGTCTCTGTTTAGACTAGGAGTTGAGAATCTCCATCAATCAACATATCTTTCTCAGATGATTTGGTTTCATCATCAGCTTTCTCTTCCTCTGCAGATATAAACTCAAGCTGTCTTGATTTGAAAACTGCTGTTCTTTTCGATCTTATCCGATACGGAGGAGATAGATTGTAAGCATTTGATCCATTCTTTTGAATCTCTTCACAGTTAGGGCTTTCTGAACTATCCTTACCATCATTCACCTTTTGATCAACCTCTTTAGCTTCATCTGTTTTCTCGGCATTGTTGTTATCCTCAACAACAACCCTGGGTCGTCTTTTCCTGAAAATGGATGGTGTGTTTGGGTAAGTTCTAGCAGCTTCTCTCAGGTAAGATTCAGGACTTCTTGGAGTTGAACCGTTACTGTACGCATTTCTACATGGCGGTGGAGTGAAGAAGCTAACTGGTGATGCGCTTGGACTGCAACCACATTCATACCCATACATACGCTGCGTATCCACTTCTGACGCCATGTAATACTCTATTTGAGGCGTGTAGTACAGATGATAACCATTATTTGCAGCTCCACCATTCTCTGGCAATGGCTCTGGGTTAGGCAACTGAGGAGAACGAGCATACTCATTAACACCAGTCATTCGTGAAGCAGCTACTACTTCTTCGACCGGAACAGTAGAGTTTATTTGGCCATTTCTGTCTTCATCGGGATTGTTTTTATCTGTAGTTCCTGATGAGGTTTGAGTAACTGAACCAAAAACCCTTTTCTGAGAGGACGATGAACGTTTAGTTACACTATCAGGAACACCGTTCTTTGCTGTTGTTGGTGGTGGTAACCTACCAGTCATTGAGTAGAATTCTGACTTCTTTTTCAGTGAACTATTCCAATGGTTCTTTATTGCATTATCAGTCCTGCATCAGGTTTTAAGTAAACCCTTCATTAAACCCAGAAGCTAAGCCTTCTCTAGAGTCTTAACTCCATTGACGCATGCCAAGAAAAGTACATACCTGCCAGGTAAGACCTTAGCAATTTCAGCCCATTTGTTTCCGTGGCTTCGATGAGCATTCATGAGAGCTACTTCTTCCTCTGAGGTCCAAGCATCCTTGTTAATATCAGGATTCAAATGGTTGTGCCACCTGCATACATATCAAAACACAATAAAGCTTCCAATATAACTAAAAGAAAAATGCTTGGCTCATATGAATTAATTACCTTTCTCGACATTGCTTCCCAATTCGACCTGGTAAAGACTGTGCGATAACAGACCATTTCGCAGGCCCGTATTTTTCAACGAGTTCAACGATTTTCTCATCCTCCTGCAAAACAAGAAATTTAAAGCGCCTTAGTATTTCACAAAAAAATGAAAGCCAAACAATAAATAAGTCAGAAACAGAATCAACCTCTTGTGTCCAAGGTCCCTTAATAAGGTCTGGATTTAGAACTTTCTGCCACCGGTGCAGGCATTGAACTTCAGTTCTATCAGGGAAAAATTTCGCTGCAAAAATGAATACACCAATTCAAACAATAAGAACAACAATACTTAATGCTTCATGGAACTCGCTGGTTAAAAAAAGGAAACAAACGTAAAAGAAAGTCTTTCTACGAGATGCTCAGCCTCAGATGATCAAGTTAACCTTCAAGAGAAACACATAAAACTACAGAGACAAGAGTATGGAACTAATAATTACTGTAAGCAAGTAGGCATTTAAAATATCTATAACTTCAGACAAGACTCCGTTTCTAATATTCCAACCACAAATCTCTGGACTATGTTGTAGCACTAACATTACTTTTGTTATGAGAACTAGAATAAAAAAAGAATAAGAGTCTTACCTATATTCTTCCAGCTCTTCCCTTTATACGTGCCAACTGCTCGTCTCAATGTCTCATCCTGCATTAAGTAAGACAACTCTCATCTTGACTTTCGAACTACTAATCCACAATTGATATTAGTGAAAGCAATCACTAGTCAATACTAACCTCTGCCGGAGTCCATCCACCTTTCGCTCGCCTAATAGGGCCACTCGTCCTCCTGCATACCAAACATTATCAACATCAATCTCCTAGAGAAAATATTCAAATTTGCAAACGAGTGGAGATGCAGAAGAAGAATAACTAACCCGAGGTATCTATGAGTTGGTGAAACTGTGGCAGGAGGACTTGCAATTGTAGGTGACTTGTGAGAACTACCAGCACTACCTTCAGATACAGAAGAGCACGAAGCAGGTGTTGATTGCTTGTTTTCTACACACTGATCCTCAACTTTCACTTCACCTGCTTCTTCCTGAAGATCCATCTGAAAAAAAATCCAGAATTTGATGAGAAACAGAGAAAACCCTAAAAAAACCAATCATCGTAAAACACGAAGCAGACAGAACCCAGATCTCACAAATTAAGAATTCAGTAAACAACTCAAGCATTCACCAACCATAGCAAAAATTTAGGGTTTATAACAATTCTAACCTCAGGAATTCATAAAGAAGCCCTATTTAAAAAAAATGGAATTCGTTTGGTAACAGAGGCAAACAACAAAGAACTCAATTTCACTAAAATCTGATCACAAGACCAAAACCCTTAAAAATCAGATTCGATACACACAAAACAAACCTCATCTGGAGAAGAAGCCGCTGGATTCAAAGTGGAGCTCATCGAGATAGATAGATACACGAATTCACCAGCAGAAGAAGAAAGAAGCCGAAAGGAACGTTAAAAAAAAACCAAACCTTTATTCGAAAAATACTTTGCCCGTTGAACCAGAGAGAGAGATAGAGAGAGAAAGAGAAGACTTGATCGAAACAAAGAAAATATAAAAAAAAAAAAAAAACATAAAAAGGGTTAAATTATAATCTCTCTCTCTCTACTATTATAACGAATACTTCTTCAGCTGACGTCACACCGTTACTTGCCGTTCTTTTTACCTTTAATAACCTATTTTCTGAACCGGTCGGTTTATTTTAATAATTATAATCACTAATGAACAAGTCAACCAAACCGAACCGATATTTCTCCATCAGCACAGATTTCAGTTGGTTCAGCTGAATGTAATGTAATCTAATTCTGGTTAAGCTGGTTCAGTAAATAGACCAATTTAACGCCGTCGTTATCTTTTGGAAAGTGGAAAGTCGAAAAGGTACACTAACGGACGTTAACGGTAGAGAGGTAACCTCAGAAACAGAAGTTTGAACCTCAAACGGCACTCGTAGCTGATCCGTTGACCATTGAACACGTATCCGGTGTCAAGCAAGCTTTGCAGGTGAAATCTCGACCGTCGGATTCGGTTTGAGATGAACTTTATTGGTCTTAAATACTTTACCTGTAAAACCATGCTACATGTAAAATCGTCCGGACCGACACATTTTACTTCAAAATGAATTTTCCGGTATTTGTTTTGTTACTGATAATAAAGAATCAAAAGATCCTATAATTTAGTTGGGGTTCTCCTATATTAATGCAAATAAAATCAACTAGTCCGGCAAAACAAAACTCTGGTGTTTCACAATACTCTGTATTATCAATACAATCCAAAGTCATTACCATCCTCTTCTTCTCCCTCGTCCTCTTCATAGAATTTCTCCCCGTTTTGAAAATCTGTGTTCATGTCGTATGATTCTACACTGCCTTCTTCTTCATCCTCTTCAGCTTCATCTTCATTTTCACCTTTCTCATGTTCATTGCTCTTCACTTCCTTCTTCTTCTCAATGTCTGTCTCGGTTTTCGACCTCTTGGGTGATTTCTCAGCTGTCTGAAAGAAGAAAAGAGAAATAATTTTGTAAAGACCTTAAAGTGATGAGAATTGAGGATACAAGAAGAGGTAATCAAAAAACTTACGGATGTATCAAATAGCTCCTCCAAAACATCGTAATTGATCACCAAACTTAGTCTCTGTAATAGTCAATACTCAAAATCAGGAAAAAGGAAGAAACACAAACTCCAAAGTTTCTTCTGTGCTACTAATTTCGACAGCCCGTGTTCTTGACTATGTACTTCCAGGTCAGGGTTTTAACAGATGATACATCGCATACTGGGTTTATCTTTTTTTGCATATTCGTTTTCAAGTATCAAGGTATCAAAAAAGCTGACATTCTAACCTTTTTCTCAAGCGTTCGGCGAACCGCTTCCATTGCTGTGGCTGGGGGAGCCGCGTTCTTTGCTTCCTCAGCTTTTTTTTGTTGCTTTTCCTACATTAAGAGAGAGAAAAAAAGAACCAGAATTTGATTGAGAAACCATGTCATTTATTCTCCAAAAGTCAGATACTTGATATGAAGTCAGGAACACAATTGCAAAGTTCAAAATGAGTCACCTTTCTAGATTTTGCCGCATCAGCTTTGGCAGCTTCGAAAGCCTTTCTTGCATCTTCTGGGCAATTAGAGTTGCTAGCTTTTAAAGCTTCACTAGCCGCCTTCAGAGCTGCTTCCTTAGCGGCTTGCTCCTACAAAACAATATAATTTTGTATGTGATTTGATCTCATATGTGATAAATCAAAAGGAATCTAAGAGAAGATAGATGTTATATAGCCTCTGAAATCACCTCAAGATAATCTTTGTTCATTTCTGTCCATGTGATCGTCTTATAGTGCGTTTCCTCCTCGTTGTTGATATAGCCATCTACCTGAGCAACACTAAAATACTATCACTGACGATCAAATATAACAAGTGAAACTGTAGTTAAGAAAACAAGACTATAACAAACTGTTGAGAATTTTCATTTACTTCATGTTCCATATTCGAGGTTGGACATTTGACATAGCATTTACTACAAAACAAGAAAGCAAAACAATTACCCACCTCATCATCACTGATGTCAGAAAAGTTGTCAGATTCATCCGAAGTATCAGCATGTTCTTCATCCCCATCTTTATTTCTTTCACCTTTCTCTGCGACACAGCACAAATAGATTCTCAAGCGCTCAAACGACAGTGAAGAACTTCAATCTGATAGACAACAATTGCACTCACCAGAAAATAGTTTTTCGCTTTTGCTCATACTGCAATAGTCTGACTGTTAAAAGTTCGGCACAAGAGATTTTTAGTATAAGATCCTACAAGCAGAAATGAACAAGCTCCAAATACAGGTGCTTTGAGTAGGGAGAAAAAAATTCTAAACTGCAATCCTCAAATAGAAGAGCACCAAAACTTACATATAGTTGTTCATCGTGGTTTAGGCTACTAATTCCTCCCTCGTTTTCTTCTCTAGCTGCTTTTTCCATTCGCTCATTCTCTGCGCGCTGGAAAGCAGGAGGGTCGGACCCACCAACAAGTCCACCAGAAACATTTATGAACTGCATACAAAATTGCAAAAGAAAACATCCGATTGTTAACTCTGAGAGTCATTTGTCAACGACACGCAACTACGTATATAGAAGACATGAAAAGAAAAATCAGGCATTAAACCGGAGACCTACATCTTCGTAGCAGTCTTTACATAGTCCATAACCAAAAGGTTTACTATCCTGATGCATACAGAGCACCGCCTCTTTGTTTGAGGTTGGTTTCATGGTAGAAGATCTTTTATGAGATTCTCTTTCTGTGATCTCATCAACCTAGCCACATATGTACAACCGTTAAAAAATGAACATAACTCTTCAACTGATATGAGGCAAAAGCAAATTGAGCCTGTGTTACATTATTTCATATGACAACAAACCAATAGCAACGGAACATGCAATATTATAACTACAATGACAGCGGAACCAGATACTCATAGTTAAACCAATGTGTGATGATATGACAAGATAGCATATAATTCTGCTAGACACTCATCAGCCTTAACTCACATTTAAATTTCCAGACTCCGTATTTCCAAACTCAATCAATCGTTTGGTTAGAGTTGCTTCACATATATGCACAATGTTTACCTGAAATGTTTAGAAAACACACCAAATCAGTACTAAATTAGTGAAATAAAGGCTAAAACACTTTTCCTCTCATCTAAAACAATATTTCTTTATAGCAAATCATATCTTACAATATCTGACTTAGAGCACTTGATACCATGAGAAAGGGCAGCTGTGTAAAGTGCTGCTCCACATATTCCACTAGGCTTCCGGCCGGTCTGCAAGCCAATAGGTGGCTTATATTAACATAACACATAATATACATAATTAACTCTAAGACAAAGGGTATATAGGAAACGATCCACTAACATAACAAAGTCACACCTGTATCCAATCTCGCTTCATACTAGCTATAATGGCTATAGCTGTTTTCACAACAGCTTTATTATGTGTTCCTTTCAATAAGACTGCAAGAGTATGATGAAACAAGTAGGTTAAGTATTCAATATAACTGTTTGTTTCTTGGCTGATGTTCTGCATCAACCAAATACAGAAACGAATGGTAGCCAAAACATGACATACTTACTGTTTGAGAATCGATCGATGAAAATTGAAGGGTCAACAAGCTTTTCATAATTTTGATTATCCGCAATGTACAGCATTTCACAGAGTTGCAAGTACACAGAACCTAACTCATAACTGCACAAGATTTGATGAAACCAAAACAGCAAAGCCTGAATTTTCGTCACAATAGACTTAACAGGTAATTAGACTACAAAAGAAAGAGAACAGTATAGAAATGAAAAAGAATCATCTTACACGCTAACTCGAAGGTAGCTTGAGAAATCAATAAGAAGAAACGGAACGTTCAATTCCCTACAGATCAAGAAATATTTTGGTTAAGCATACAACGAATAAAACATCAATAACATAATTCAGCATGGTATTTTAAAGAGGAAATATATTAGGAGAGAAACAAAACGATTACTAGGAATCTAACCTGCAAGTCAAGTAGAGACAGGAAGCCTGTACTAGTTCAGTTCTGCGGCCTTTAGTGAAATTCTGCTCAACTGCCGACTTCAGAAGATTAATTGAGTTAATAGAAGGGGTAAAAGTCCTTACAAATTAATATTCAGAAAATAAGTAAACCAAACATACTTTAAAGAATAGAACAGCCATGTCAATCACATCAGCTCTCTCATCACCAATTCCCAATGCATCTCTCAAATTCGTAAACTCATCTCTAGCTGCCAAAAAGACGAAGGTCTGTCAGATCAAACTATAAGAATCAAAATTGCAATAACGTAAAGAGACTAACAATGCTATGGTTTTCAAAACAGTCACATGGCCTGAATTTGGAAGGAAATCTAAGGATGGGAAATACAGAATAATGAGTACACCTAAGCAATTACTGAACATAAGCGAAAGCTGTACACTAGATGTATCAGTTGCACTATTTGGGCCAACAGCAAACAGAAATACATATACAAAAAAGGCATACCTATTCTATATCTCCTTTCACGTGAGCTTGGAATCCCACTTTGAACACTGCTCACTATGTTACCTGAGGCTTGGCTCTGCAGATACAGATATAATTTGTTAGCTTGAACCAAATTGTTCAAAGAAACCAAAGGCAGTATAAATCTCAAGTAACTATGTGGATATCAATAAAGAGACAACAGTCTTGAAAACAAATCCATTGTCTAGTCTATCAATGATATTTCTACTTGTTGTAGCTAAATTAGGCTGGTTACTTAGTGTATTTTTTTAACTTCGGTAGTTTTGGCCTTTCATATAATATGGCCATAGCAAAGTTTCAGTCTGAAGGAAAAAGTTCACATTAGTGGAGGCAAGGATCAAAGTTACTGCACGAGTATATCTAATATGTTCACTGGACTATAAAACCAACAAAAAAAAAGTTCCTAACTTCCCATACAACCCCTCAGACCATTTAAATAGTTCAAAGATTCTCCAATTCTTATCCTCACATCTCTCCAATCTTACATCCTATTAATCACATCTGCAAACCACTAGAGAGATCGAGAACATCCCAAGAAACACATCTAGCACTATAACAAAAGAGCTCAGCTGCGTATACCTGTCCAGCAGCATTCTTAACGAATGTAACTTCTGTAGAAAAATTGAAGTTCTCCAATATCCTCCCACATAAATTACATGCCCTGCAAAAATCAAAAAAGATGGAAATTTCATAATTCGAAGCTTGGAAACCACAAATCCAACAGAAACTAAGCTCCTAAAAAGCAAACCATAAGATGAAAAACATGAGTGAATAATCAAAACACTTACAATGCACCATCATAAGGGCGTATTCCGGGAACATTCTTCACGCAGTGGTTACACCACACCATAGCTCCGTCACTCAAAAAGCTCCCACCTTAGCTTCTAATATGGATCCGAAACTCAGATTCGAGGCTTGAATCGATTCGAAACAACAGCTTCCAATCTTACTGCTCAATAGAAAGAAGATCAGACTATTTCTAGCGAAAGTAACCGCTTTTACACGATCGTGCGAGGAAGGGGAAAGAATCAGGGTTTAATGGGATATCTATATAACATACCGGATTTGGCCGTGACGGCGACGACGGTGTTGAAGGCGAAGCTGAGAGACGTGATGAGAGATTTCTCCGATATGTGACTGCCTTGAATCGAACTCGGGTCCCTAAGAATTAGGCAAAAGTTCGTGAGCTCTTTTTCAGGGATAACTGCAAAGTAATTGTCAGTTTGTCACGTTGGCTTTGGTTTTGTTCTTCGGTTCACCGCAATTTCAAGATGTTACCAAGTTAAACCGATCAATTAGATCTGGTCCGTATTAGCATATTGCTAAACCGAAATCGAAAATAAATCTTGCAAGTAACATCTTCGATGGTGGAAACCCCCTTGACCCATTGGTTGACCAAGGGTTAATTAATGCTTCTACACCAAGAAGTCTGGGGTTTGAGTCCCAGGTATTGCGATTTATTAATAAATTTGCAGATTAATGGAGGCAAGTGTGCAAGAGATCTCTAGCGATTTATTAATGAATTGTCAGTTGTAGAATCGTCTATGTAACAGTTCTCATAATTTGCAATTAATAATAAATCTAGACGATAAAAAAAAATAAATAAATAAATAACATCTTCTATACGACGACCCATTATAGCTTAAACAGAAATTAAAATTGCCATTACATAACACTGATCATTCACATATGATTGAAAATTTAAAATGTTACAAAAAAAACAAGGAAAAGTACAAAAACTTTTAGCTTCGATTTCTCGTTTATGGTCCAAGTAGTTTCATAGGTTCATCTTTCTTCTCAGTAGCATTACGGTTTGCTGCAGTGGCTCTAAGAGGAGGCTCAAAGAGCTTGCTTGCGACATCAGGAGGCAATTCGTCTTCACCCGGAAGAACGAGAAGCCCTTTTTCTCTCAGAGAAGAAGGTTCATTGTAGCAAATGCTCCACAGTGAATCGACGAGCTGTCTCTCTTCTTTAACCGTTTCAAGATCCTCCTGTGACATCAAGCTGATTCCTTTGATCCGTTCTTCTAGTAGCTGCCTCAGTTTCTCATCGCTTTTATCTATGCTGCTACTTCCGCTTCCATCGTTTTTCTCTCTTGCAAGCTCAAGCAATCCACGAAGAGCGGCTTCTCTGATCTCAGCATCGTCACTAGAGGCGAGATGCATCATCACTCGGGGGAATCCGAGTCCAGTCGCAATACTGCGGTCTGAATCATCCTCTTGCAGTAGATATTGCAACAAGTTTAAGGCTTTCCTGGAGAATTTAGAAAGAAAGAAAAAAAAACAATTCAAGAATCTTCCAAGGTTAGAAATCGGTAAAGGCTCTAAGGAATTAGAGCATTTGTGTGGATTACCTTTGAAATCTCACACTATCAGATGCTAAAGCATCTCTTAGGCCAGCATAACCATTGGCAAGCTTGAAAGCAGTTACTCCTGGTTTGTTATGGCGAATCAAAGCTACATGCCATATTGAAAAGATAGGTCTCTTTAGTATATCACAAACCAAGTAAAAGAGAAATCACAAAAGCTTTTGATCATCACAATCTTTACTATAAATAAACTATCAGAAGCAGGCTTACATGATATTGCGCCAAGGGCCTGGGTTCGAGCGTGAATATCTGTGTCTGAAGTGAAATTTGAGAGTAATGACTCCAAACCATTTGTTTCCATAACTAGTTCCTGACTTCTGGGATTGTTCTGAACTATTGTGCTAACGACATCCGCAGCTTTTGCCCGAATATTAGCATGAGAGTTTTTAAGGAAATTAAGAAGAGGAACCAAGCCTCCAATTGAATGAAGATCTACACAAGCAATATTCAAATTGAGCTAAGCACAACAGAACATGAAGATTACAAGTTCCAAGTAAGAGATAGTTTACCATTAGCCATATCGATTGATTCAACGTGCTCCTGCAGCTCATCCAGCAAATCTACCAGCGGGATGATAAAACTCAATTAGTACCCCCACAATATGGCAAAAGATAAAGATCTAAGCTATGTATCATAGCTAAAATTAAGCACCTTGAATATCCTCAGGTGTAACTCCATGATCCGCTAAAACTTGTTCAGGTGTTTGCATAACTAGTGTAATCTCCTTCATGCGCTTGACTACATCTATAGTCTGTGATTGCATAGCCTCCATAAACCATTTTCGATCCTCCTCACTGTCTCATTAAACAACTCAATCAACAATAAAAACAAAACATGATGTTTTGACATGACCAAATGGTGGATTCCCTTAAACTTAAGAGAGTTTCATGTAAAAACGAGAAAAGAGATAACCTTTCACCTACACAACTGCAAAATTCGATAATTGAAATCTAACCAAACCGATCAATTGAACAGATATCTTGAAAAAAGAAAACTACTTTACACAGACCCAGATTCGAATTCACTCATAAGATTCATCTCCTCAAGTGAAAGCTCAATCATAGCCACACAAATACCTCAACTACCCACCAAATTCAGACAAATCACAAGACAGAACCTAAAAAACTAACTACAAGATGAATGTACGTACCTCAACTGGCGAGTGGGTCGAGTCCCGTCAGCGTGAGAGAGACTCCATTTAAGTAATCCGTCCCAATTAGGTCCGTCTTTCGCCATTGAAGAATACTTTCACCGTGAAAAAAGAAGAAATTACAAAAGTCGGAAACCTTCTTGTCTTTGTAATAATCAAAAGAGGAAGAGTCGGCTAATCGCTAGTTTGGTTTTATGGTTTTATAAAAGACCTTGAGATTATTCGCGAAGCTACTACAACATTCTAAAAAATCTTAAACCTTCTCGACGACCTCTGAAGGGGAAAAGCGAAGACGATGACGCGTCTTCCACGATATTGGGCCTTTTATGACAAGCCCAAATAATAGTTCAGCTTCAATTAGCTTGCTAAACCATAGTTTTCTTAATTTACCTTTTTTTTAATTTATTATTGGCATTGGCAATGGCAAATCCATTTCACGCATGTTCCTTTGACTTTGGAGCTTTTGACATGTGAACGTTACTTCCACTCTAAATTCAACGACCAGTCGACCAGAATATTAATTTGTTACATATGATCAAGTATCAATGGATTAATACAAAGTTGACAGACGTGACAACAAATCAAACTCAGAACTAAATCTCTTTATATTTCTTCCACTATTCATTTCACTCCTCTTGTTCCTTCTGTTATATCCTGAAATCTGTGTAGCTTGCTCTGATTCAACTCTGTTTTGAAACAGAGACGACGAAGATGAAGCTTCTCCATCATCCCACAACGACGATTCCGCTCCATGGCCTCGGAGTTATCGGTAAAATCAAATCCTCTGTCTTTCGATTCCATTTCTTCTTCTCCATCATCCCACAACGACGATTCCGCTCCATGGCCTCGGAGTTATCGGTAAAATCAAATCCGATATCTAACTAATTAATTCGAAATATTCTTCCCTTTTTTTAATGTAAAATTCAGACAATCTGTGGATATCTTGACCGGAGTTACACCTCCTACGGTCAGTTTCATACATGGGAGAAGTACTCAGACATCATTCACCAGCTCCATCGCTTCCTTATACAAGAGACGTCACAACTCTATTATAACCTCGTTTGCGTCTTCCACAAGCAAACAACCATTGCTCTCCGAGAAAGACGATGTCTCAGCCAAGTCATTCCTTTCACCTCAGCTCAGGTTATCCATCACCGATTTCTCGTATGCAGAACCAAATCTCTGCTCGTTTCCTCAATCTGTTCTCAATGGTAAGACGTAGTATCGGTATTGATTCTGTCTCAGAAGGCTTATCGTCATAACAAACATCTTTCAGTCTCTAGCTCTCTTTAAGTTGAACCTATTTTAATTTGGTGCAGGAATCAATGTCCTATGTGGAGTAGGTCTACTCACAATGCCTTACGCGGTGAAAGAAGGAGGATGGCTCGGGCTTTGTATACTTTTCATCTTCGGTATCATCACTTGCTACACCGGTATCCTCCTCAAACGATGTCTTGAGAGCTCTCCTGACCTCCATACCTACCCCGACATTGGTCAAGCCGCCTTTGGATTCACCGGCCGCATCATCATCTCCGTGAGTTATATGGAAATCATTTACATATATACTTAAAGATCCTTTCTAGTTAACATCTCCAAACTAAAATTTAGGGTTCTTGGTCTCTCTTGAGAGTTGCAGATGCTTCTGTACATGGAGTTATACGCATGTTGTGTGGAGTATATAATCATGATGAGCGATAACTTGTCAAGAATTTTCCCCAACATTTCATTAAACATCGTTGGAGTATCTCTAGATTCTTCTCAGATCTTTGCCATATCAGCTACTCTTATTGTTCTTCCTACAGTTTGGCTCAGAGACCTTAGCTTACTCTCCTATCTCTCAGGTTCCTTTGTCTATATAAAAGATCATAAATCCTTACAATATAACTTCGAGATTCGCTCATTCTTTAATATTTGCGTTCCATTCTTTTAGCCGGAGGAGTCTTCTCTTCGATCTTGCTGGCTTTTTGTCTCTTCTGGGTTGGGTCGTTTGATGGAGTAGGGTTTCACACTGGTGGACAAGCTCTTGATCTCGCTAACTTACCTGTCGCTATTGGGATTTTCGGGTTTGGGTTCAGTGGTCACGCGGTTTTCCCCAACATTTACTCGTCCATGAAAGACCCATCCAAGTTTCCTTTGGTGCTCCTCACTAGGTTAAACCACTCTTTGCTTAAGGTTACTTATAATGGACGTAAATTTTAGGTCAAAAGTTTCAAATCTAGTTTCTTTTTGCAGTTTTGGTTTCTGCGTATTCTTTTACATTGTCGTGGCGATTTGCGGCTACAGTATGTTTGGTGAAGCCATTCAATCTCAGTTTACACTAAACATGCCACAACAGTTCACGTCATCCAAAATCGCAGTTTGGACAGCAGTGAGATATCACTTTAAAACTCGATAACATGTTTGTCTCTAGTCTCTACATATAAAATTTGATTGCTTATTTTTCTCTTCTATAGGTGATAACACCGATGACCAAATACGCGTTATCTCTCACACCGATTGTATTAAGTTTAGAAGAACTTATACCGTCTTCAAAAAAGATGAGATCATATGGAGTATCTATGTTTGTTAGAACGATTCTAGTTCTCTCTACTTTGGTTGTCGCACTTACATTCCCATTCTTCGGTAAAATACCCTAACTTCTTTTTGCATGAATGTATTATATATTCAAAAACAAAACCATCTTAATTTGTCTTCGTTTGTTCTAATAACTTCGCAGCGATCATGGGGGCTTTGATGGGAGATCATTCCTCGCAATGCTTGTCGTAACTCCCC